ATTTCATTGCATCATCTCCCCATGCCTCGTCAACAGTATCAGTCCTTATCACCTTAAGAAAAGCAATTTCCTTCTTGGCACAATGCTTGCAATCCTCCACGCATGGGCGTCTCGATAATGCATCTGCGTTGCCATGAATTCTTCCGCCGCGATGTTCGATTTCAAAGTCAAATTCCTGAAGTTGTTCCAACCATCTGGCTACTTGGCCTTCGGGATCCTTAAACTGAAGCAGCCATTTCAAAGCAGCGTGATCAGTTCTGATCAAAAATTTCCGTCCCAGTAAATACTTCTTGAAATGGTGCAGGGTTTTGACTACGGCCAGTAATTCCCTCCTGGTCACGCAATAATTCCTCTCCGGCTTCGATAGTGACTTGCTGAAGTAAGCAATAACCTTCTCCTGCTCACCATCGCGTTGTGAAAGGACACCTCCTATTCCAATATTGCTGGCATCCGTATCAACTACGAATATTCCTTTCGCGCTGGGGTATCCGAGAATTGGTGTGTTACAAAGCCGTTCTTTTAGGTCTCGAAAGGCTTGCTCACAATCCTCGTCCCAGATAAAGGCACGTTTCTCCTCTGTCAATCGATGCAAAGGCTTGGCAATGTCCGAGAATCCTTTCACAAACCGCCGATAATACGAGCACAATCCAAGAAATGCCCGAACTTGCGTTTTGTCTTTAGGTGTTGGCCATTCCTTAACAGCGACAGTCTTGGCTGGATCAGTCTCAATTCCTCTCTCAGAAATAACATGTCCTAGATAATTCACTTCGCGCTTGAAGAAAGAGCATTTCTTTGGACTCAACTTTAAATTTGCTCCACGCAGCTTGTCGAGTACCTTTTCCAATTTCCTTAGATGATCGTCAAAATCCCGTCCAACAATGATGATGTCATCGAGGTAAACTAGGCAGGTTTCGCCCAGCAGTCCCACCAGCACCTGTTCCATCAAACGCTCAAAGGTTGCCGGTGCATTGCATAATCCAAATGGCATCACCTTAAATTGCCAGAGTCCCTTCCCAGTTGAGAATGCGGTCTTTTCCTTGTCCTTGGGATCCAAATCCACCTGCCAATAGCCGCTTTTCAGATCGAGCGTTGAAAACCATTTCATGCCACTCAGTGTGTCAAGTGTGTCATCGATTCTTGGTAACGGGTAGCTATCCTTCTTGGTTACATCATTCAATCGTCGATAGTCTACACAAAACCTCGTTGAACCATCTTTCTTCTTGACAAGCACGACAGGTGAACACCAAGGGCTAGAAGAGGGCTCTATCACGTCATTTTTCCTCATATCGTCAATCATTTCTTCAACCTCTTTCTCACGAGCGAATGGTATACGTCTGGGCCTTTGACGAATTGGCATTGTATCACCTGTGTTTATTTTATGCTTCACCAAACCAGTTCGGCCAATATCACCATCGCTTCTTGAAAACACATCAGAGAATCGAAGAAGTAAATTTCTAGCTTTCATAGTCTCCACTTTTGTCAGACTTTTGTTTTCGTCTAAGATTTTCGTTACAAAGTCTATTCCCGTACTGTCCTTCTTCACAACATTTTCCGAGCATTTTCTTATCCAGGCCACTTCTTCCAATACGCCCACAGGCTCTCCTTCTTCAATCGTAATTTCTGAATCACTGAAGTTGAATACCGGAATGCGGTTAACATCAGATGACCCCACGACAGTTCTTGCCGGTAGCCATGAGTTTACGTGTTCCGATTTATCAATCACAGCGCACCTTCGAGGTAAACTTCCTTCCCTCCTCCTAGGTAATGCAATTGGTACGAGAGTCTGTGATTTTGGTGCAAGAACAGTTCTTCTTAAACAGCAAACTTTTCCCAGGGTTCCACCCTTCATCGGAATTTCCTCAGTTCCACATAGTAATACTCCAGATTTTAAGTCGATGTTACACTGGTGCCCTTGCAGGAAGTCAAGTCCCAGGATGCAGTCATCCAGAATTTTGGCCACAATAACCTCATGTCGATAAACACGTTCCCCAATTTTGATTGTTACATGCAGTTTTCCACTTATCGGTATGCACTGGCCGGTAGCTGATTTCATTTGTAGGCCAACAATTGGTTTAAGGTGTTTCCTGATGTTGTGCTCGAGCAGCCGAACATTTATCACCGTCCTTGAAGCTCCAGTATCTAATGTTAGCTGACTGTTTTTCCCATTTACTTGACCGTCTATCACCAGAGTATTTCCATCGTTGGTTTGCTTGATGTAGATTGTTGGGGTTGTTCCACTACCAGCCGGCGCCCACCCCGCAGCCCTGGCTGGGTTTAAGTTTCCCTGCTGGTCAGAAGTTGAGACCGCCGCGTCCTTGCGGTTCATCTTCTTCGGGCAGTCGCTCCGTATGTGCCCACGCTCTCCACATCCATAGCACATGAAGTTCCGACGGCGTGGAGGTACCTGCTCCGTTGTCGTCATTTCCCGCAGACGTAAGGTACGGGAGTTGCTACGCACGGCTTCCACTTCCAATGCATGGGCCAGAGCTTCTTTCATGATCTTGTGATGGCCCAGATGAACAGCAGCTCGTACTTCTGGGTCCCGAATACCGTCAATGAACGCTTGGAGAAGCGTGCCTTCAATCATTGACGGAGTCGACCGGAAAGCTCGACGTACAAGTTTCTCGATTTCCACGGACCATTGCTGTAGGCTCTCATTAGCACGCTGAGTACGCTCTTTTAATTGCGCTCTATACACGTGCTCGAGGTGGCTGTCTCCAAAACGTGCTTCAAGTGCGTCGAGGAGGGCACTAAAGCTGAGATCCCCACTTGCGCCGATAGCTTCCAGCACTGAGAGCGCTTGATCACGGAGGGCCAGGGTGAGGGCTGACTGTGCTTCCTTCTGAGTCCAACCATAAGCCTCCATAAGTGTCTCAAACTGTAGCTTGAACGCGGTCCAGGATGTTGTTCCGTCGTAATGGGGAATCTTGAGCCCTTTCGTTGCGCTTGAGGCCACATGTGGGGCGTCAAAAACGGCTGCAAGACGGCTTCGGCTCTTCAAAGGGCTTGGGCTTGTCACTTCCTGCTTGATTTTGGCGATCTCTTCTTCCACTCTCTCCTCTATCGCCATGACGCGATGTTCCAACTTGCCTAACCCTTCCTCCACTTCTTGTACCCGTTCGACAGCCTTTTGCAGTCCCTTCGTGAAATCTTTATGCATGTCTTCCAAGCGACGCGCTTGCTCCTCTTGGCGACGAGCTTGATCTTCTTTCAGCTCCCGTAGCTGCTCCGCCTGACAGCGTGCTTGCTCCCGAAGCTGTTCTGCCTGACAGCGTGCTTGCTCCCGTAGCTGTTCTGCCTGACAGCGTGCTTGCTCCTCTTGGCGACGAGCTTGCTCCTCTTGGCGACGAGCTTGATCTTCTTTCAGCTCCCGTAGTTGTTCTTCTTGGCGGCGCGCTTGCTCTACCATCATTTGCTGCAGCTGTAGCAGAAGATCCACCTGCACAGGCTTGGCTTCTGCATCGCTGGTTTGAGCTGCAGCACCATCTTCCCTCACTCGCTGCGCTTGTGACATTGCACGGGTACTCACTCCTCTTACGTCCTGCGGCACTAGCGGCATTTTTCTCCAATCCCACTTCTGACACCAAATGTTACGTGCCTGCCGTCACGTTCCTGACTATGCGGGCTTGGGTTACGGGATTAGATGAAATGAAACACTAATACCGGTTTTCAGACTTTCTATTGCACTTAAGTTACAGCGTCCACGGAGTTAAGTTATCGGCGTTCCTCTCCAGCAGAGTCCGGCCGACTGACACAACTTTGCCGTTCACGCTGACTTAACTCACTTAACTGACTGTACTTCACTATTTCACTGCACTTCACTATTTCACTCACTTTTCTTCTTTCTCACTTCTTCCTTTTCTTCCGAATCGCTTTAGACTTAGAACTCAACTGCCAGCGGTGAGCCGCAGTTCCGCTTATATACCCCCGGTCAGGTTCTAGAACATTCAATTTCGTTATTCTTTTTGATCGTCATGCCTCCAGAACCTTCCAATAATTTCGTTATTCATTTTTATTTATTCTCCTTCTCGCTCCTTAATTTTTCATCACTTTCACTCAAATATTCCAGAAAGTTCGACAAAACTTCCATCAACTAAAAAACTTCATGTTTACGGCGGGACTCGAACTCGGGGTCTCTGTGGTGTAATCCACACGCCTTACCGATTACACCAACTCGTGTTGACAATTCACGACGAAATTTACAATCTCTAGGCAACGTTTGACAACCATCCATTGACGTCATGATGTCAAAGAGTTTTCTGTCACAATTCAGTAGATGTAAATCAAAGAGAATAACATACATAATAATGAGAAATTTTAAAAACTACTTGAGTGAGATGTAATTGAAGATATAACTACTTTTTGATGAACGAAATTCCAGTAAATCATCGACACTAAACACGCTTACGAAATCAAACCGTGGAACCATCTTAAGCTGCCACTTATCAAATGATTATTCGCAATATCTTAGCTCGGCAACTTTCCTACAATTTAGTTAGATAACTTTCCCCTGAGACTAGTTATTTGAGCCCGGCGGTGCCTGTCGACTCGTCAATACATAGGTTCATAATAATAGAGTTAAGGGTTGTCTCATATTAAATGATTGTTGGAAAGCGTCGACCGCAAACCGCATTTAATTCTGTAATAACTTGTCACTACATTGTCGATAAAAGAAATGTTATAAAACTTTCAAAGTTTCTTTCATTTGAATAATATCATGGTATTTTTGGATAAGTAATATTGTAACCTTCCCCAAGTCCCAAGGAAGGACAACGCTAAGACTGAACACACCGGAGACTTAGGAAGTTTAATATAAAAAAGAAGGCGAAGACTATAATTATCTTAAAGATCAGAAGCCAATAAATCAATCAAAAAGAATAGTTTGTGTAGCTAAACCCGGTGAAAGCTAGAAACACTAAAGTTTCACAACACAGGTCCAATTTCCAAATGTTTTGAACAATTTTATTGTTGCATCCATTTGTGACACACGACGGCGGTCCATGTTTATTATTGTGTCATCACTGCACAAACACCACGGTAACTCTCTAGAATTATAAAATCCTTACTATTTCCTACTTCCCTAGTTTAGTTTACTAAATTGTCCCAAACTTTGTTAGGTTTTATTGTATTTTGTTTATCTAAGTCAGTCGTCTTACCATGGAATATGATCACCATCAACCCTACACTAAAATCATGTATCCTGACCCTGCTCAAACATACACATTGAATATTTAAGGGTGTTCAAACATATTGAATATTTCCAGGTGCCAACAAGCCAGTGATCGTGGTCCGAGTGGGTAACAACAGGCCTGACCTCGGCACCAACCCGATCTGCAACCGCTTCACTGGATTCATAGAAGAAGGCCAGCCACTCTTCCTTCCCTGCAACCCTCCGATGCCTGGAGCATTCGTCAGTGTGCACTTGGAAGCGTCAACACCGTCTCAGCTTTCTATCTGCGAAGCTTTCGTGTATACGGACCAGGCGTTGCCGATCGAGAGATGCCCTCAGTTTCGGGATCAACCACCCGGCAGTACGGCGACTTACAATGGAAAATGCTACATATTTTACGACCGGCAGCCAGCGTCGTTCAGAGATGCTCTAGGATTCTGCCGCTCAAGGGGTGGAACCCTGGTGGATGAGAGCAACCCCGCCCTGCAAGGATTCATCAGCTGGGAGCTGTGGCGCCGACACCGGTGAGTTTGCTTAGTATTTCTCGTACCAGCGGCACTGCGACTGAATATTCATATAATGTTGTTTATCATGCGTCAGCTTTTTACTTTACAGCTAATCTATACACTATAACCTGGAAATCTAACGATTGTTAACGTTCCGTGCAAAATTGATGTTTATACAAGTTCAAAGCTCGCTTCAACCTTGACATGCTAATAGACAAGTTTATAAAAACCAGGTAGAAGAAAGTGGGCAAGGAGTAGCTGGTAGTGGGCAGTCCAGTGCCACTGCTAAACATTCTCTAAGTCGTGTAACGGTCGCCAAACGAGTATATTAAGACAACGGGCTGGGTCCCGTACGAGCCGCGCGCCGCACGCCGGCTACGATCCGATACGGTTTTTATGTCGAACGTTACACGTACGTACGGTTTACGTTGATCATTTTAAATAGCGGAGAAAGGTTTGTGGTATAGCCACGAGTTCCGAGAGTCCTCACAGTTATTGCCATCAGCGGCTTTTAGCTGACCCACTAGCAGTTGTTATATGATCCATGTATGAGCTAACTGCAGACAACTGTACATTATGATAAGGCCTGAAGAAAGGCTTGCTCATTTTTGCAATTTTTTCATTTGATACTCGTTACCACGTTACAATACTGTGTATAATGTAATCGATAACCATCGATACTGTAGTGGGCTCAAGACTCGATGCTAAAAATAAAGTGACCGTTGCTATAGCAACGACGTCTAATCATTATTTTTCTAGTTACTGGTGCTAAGCCCCCAAGATCGGCCGGCCTCCCACACGTATGTAAACATGAAAGGACACGGGAATCCAAATAGTTATTCTTGTTCGAGGGTCCTAATGAGGACTGTCTGAAGATCTTCTTTGCGGATAAAAATAACAAGAGAACATTTTATTATGTTAGTCCATCTGCGCAATTACTGTGGATCGATGCAGCACCCCACGCTAAATGAATACGATATCTTAGCAAAGGATTGTCACAACCATTTTCATTATTTATTTAACGACCTATCATGTATACGTGATTCTGGTAGGTGTTTATTTTTTATGGCGATTCTATATTTTTTTCTGAGTTTTCATCTACCACTCCGGTAGCAACTCGGGTTAACATGGGAATCCCTTCGCCCTTCAACTAACGGCCTTGACGAGAAAATCAGCCTATTAGTCAAATGGCTAGCCATCCAGGCTAGTAGTTAATTGGCTAAGCTAGAACAACGAGCAAGAAAGTACATCGTTACTGTTTTTTAAAACAGCAAGCACAGCAATTGTTAGTAAAGATCAAAAATTGTAACATTATTCTGAATAAAAATTGAATGAATCCATAAATATATTCAATTTATATTAAAAAAAACTTAGGATGACCAATCAAGGACCCGGAGAGTAACATCAACACGTAGACTAGCCGCTTACCTAAGGCTAGTCACACATGAGTGGTACATAAGTACCTAGTATTATAAAATGCATATTGCTTTGTAGGAAGTGTGTGGCGCCGGCTGAACCGCAGCGATTATAGGGCGCGTGCTCACTCACTGTGCAGTAACGGTGCCACGTCTGTGTTTACTTGCCGCATGTCTGTACTGTCATTACGTAAACATAACATTTAAGACTTTAATTTGGTATTCACTTAGCTGTAGGCGGTTGTTAAAGTTGGCTCAATCAAATCACTTTTTAAATGAGTCAACAGGCAAAAGTAGTGTAGGGTGGCCTTCATCTAGCTGGACTGACGATATCCGTAGGGTGGCTGGCAGTGGTTGGATGAGGGTTTTCTGTGAAGCCGTGTGATACCACGACATCGTGGCGTGAAACAACCACAAATCAACAACACTCTACAATCCCGAAATCCCTAAAAGGTCGGCAACACACTTGTAGTTTTTCCGTTGTTGCGGGTGTCCATTGCGGACCATGGGCGGCGCTATAAACCAAAAAAAACTGCCCTTTTCTACTAATAACTGTTCTTCTCTTTCCCTTTCTTGAAAGAACGAAGAAGCTGATTGCTCCGGCTGCTCGTTTGCCGACCATAAATAGTAGGGAAAAAAAATTCAAGCAGTTCACTTATTCGTCAAAGAACTCATCCGTAGCTCTGTAATCAACTAACGGATGCCATCATATATTTCTCAGCTGTTTTGCATCATCACCATCACTAGATCGTTTCCATCTACCGCTGAAATAAGCCTCTCAAAATTACACCAACCTACATATACTATAATAATTACGAGTAATAGCCATAAAATTATTGAACAAATATGATAGATAGAACAGTTAACAGATTCATGAAAAGCCTTTTAAGCGCCATCTATTGAGGGGTAGACTAACTATAGTTTTTTTTTTATATTATTTGATATTACGTCGAACTAGTTTGTTTAAACAATCGGCGTAAATACATCATTAAAAAAAACTATTTAGTAAACTGGCCAATAAAACGATTCAATTAAATCGGACACTTTCATAGCGCCATCTGCAAGCGAGTAGTACAAACTATTTTCTTAAAAAAAAACTAATTTGGTTGTTCAATACAATTTTTAACATTTTCGTACCTGTGTTTTATCGAAATAAGATTTATTAAACAACGTTTAGTTTATATTTTACTACAATCTCTTTACTCGAATCCTAAACTTTTGTAATCACATGACCAAATAGGACACGTATTCACTAACGATTAATTTATCAGAAATTAAGTACCTACCTCATTATTTCTTATATTACAAAAATCTACATTCCAATGTTCATATGTGTATTATATATTTATATATTTTTAAATGTAAACACAGACTAGGAAGGAAATCGAATACATCATACAAGTACATACCTATATGTGCAAAACATCGAAGGATTTAATTAATACCTATATACCAGGACCCCTGGAGTCTCTCAAAGAGAAAGTGCACAGATTGCAATCCAATATCGATGGATGGTGTTATACAGCAAACCAGTAAGAAAATTATTTGTTAAATGTGGTTAAATGTTTTGTAGTAAGTTCCAAAAAAAATAAATAAATTGATGGATATCGGTCAATTTTGGGTTCCTTATTATTATTATACTTAACTTAATTTAAAATGTATGACTATGTCTGTAAATTTTTGTATTTAGATGGGACAAACTTATTCTATATTTCATCATCAATACCTAGGTTTTAGAAAAGCGATGTGGAACAACACCCTTAAAAGAATTGAATACATTTTTTACCAGACAATTGAAGGTTCACTAGTTGTTATTGAATGATTTAAGCAAACTGCAATTGGTAGGTTGTAATTGTTAAACAATAACATCATAACGGTATCCAACATGTAACCTTCAGTCATAGCTAGATTTATCATTTCTTTTAAAAACAGGAGCTTTAAATCGTATAGATTTTTGAGTCCGAGGAACTCTAGCGCTTGAGAGATTTTACCTCACAAACCACCTCTTTGACCACCGATTTACATATCTACTCCGAACCCTCACGCAACGCAACGCTTCTTATGGCATATCCCTCTTAGTACCTATTCCCTGATGTCTAGTCTCGTTCTTCGATTTTACAAACAATAACAGGATCGAGGATTATTTTTATTTCCTGAATGTTTGTTTACCGTGACTTGCATAACACCGTCCAGGCGACTAGTACATATGTACGCACAGCTTACTGCTAACATTTCAATTATCCTTTGCCTGTGAGGGACGCTATTTGCTTTTACCTCTCGTCTGCTTTTGAATACTAGATAATTGCACCCTGCACCCGACCCCACAGACCCACCGCTACCCCAAATAGACCCCCTGGCACCCCCAATAAGCCCCCAGTTACCCCCACGTTTGCGCTCACATTCAATCAAATCAGTGTCCGTTATTTCTGTTGATATTATTTACTGTAATGCTGAGATTAAAAACATTTGGACGTAGAAATAAAAAAAATATAATGTTTCATGAAAATATAAATTAGGTACATACTTACGAAGTAAATTTTGGTTGACCAGCTCTTTGGTTAGTCACAAATATGCCTGCCGAGCCTCGGTTTCAACTCTCGGGTCGGGCAAAGTAATATTGGGCAATTCGCTAAACTTAATAGACTTGGATTCTATCTATAATCCTTATATTCACTTTCTTCCAATTCATACAAACGTATAATTATTATTTGATTAATGATTATTTACAATTTCATTGTTATTGCTCGTGCAGAATACTAAATTTAACACGTAATTTTGTATTTCACAATAATAGTAGGTAGTTTCCTCTTTTTTGGGACACACTTAATCACAACGCTACTCAATAAATTTCTTTTCGTAATTGTTAAAGTACCATGAGCTTTTATTATTCCGTGTGAATGGGTTATATTATGGGTAAGGCAATAAAGTGGATGCCACGTCAGTTTTCCTTATCCTAATAAAAAAATTTAATACATCTGTTTAAATTTTAATGAATACTACTAGTAATACTATAATGCTCCACAGGATAGTATACCTACACGAATATAAATAATGTTCCAGTGGATCTTTGCTTGAACGGAAGTTCTTAGATTTTGTAAATTTGTAACCATGCTATTTTTATTGTTAAACTTGATAAATTTGTAAATGTGAGTGCCCTGTAACCTATTAAAATTAGTTAGACTAGCAGAATGTCGGTCCTTATGTCAGCTTGGAGTTGTCATGCTCACTCAAAGGTCACATTGGCGGTGGCACGGTCACTGGATCGCTCGATTCCCTATATTATGGTTGAGTTGGGCGATGCTGGTGTACGTGTCATGCTCGTGAACGGGCGCCGTCAATTGGGACTGGTCAGCTCCGGACTGTCTATTGTCCTTAAGGTTATTTTCTTTTTATGTTTCTCTGTATACACGCGTTACACTGTTCTCACATATTCAAACTAACTAAATAATGTATCAAAGAATGTTTATGTGACACTGATTTTAAAAGAGTAACCATGAAGTTTCTTGCTCGTTCTTCTCCATCGGAATCTACACTTTGGAACGAGCGAATAGCTTCACTAAGAGGACTGACCGACAGACTGACACTTTGTATCTTTAAAGTTGTGTTGACGTTCAAAAGTGCCTGTATGGGTCTAATTGAAATAAATGATTTTTGACTTTGACTTTTGACCTATTTATGTATCTTTGAAGATACTTTGCCAGGTTTGAAGAAACAAAATATACAAATTTTCTTAATCAATATGAATATTGCTTAAGTACTTGTGTCCGATTTACGGGAACACGCCAATGAATGAGGCAGGCAGGCACCGAAAATATAAACAAATTAAAAATGTTATCTTTTTGTAACCGTTTGTTTCTTTGAAATAAATTAGCTTAGCCATCAAGCCCACTGGACGCCTACATTCGACGAAAACATCAAACAATTTTTTCTTCAGAAATAAATGTAGGTACTTATTATAAAAATGTTTGTAGCCTCTGATAGAACATTCTCGAACATTTATCTCCCCAAAACCCCCCTACACCCCACGAATCCCCCCGTTGGGGGATTGATACATGAGAGCTTTGTGAAGAGGGAGTGGGGTGAGAATTTAATAATAAATACTCCAAGAGCTCACAATTTTCGATCTTTTCTTATCTTATATTTTAAATAAAAATTATTTGCCGTTCCCTATTTTGACTGAGTTTATTTTGATTTAATATAAAACATATTATAAATATGTGCTTTTGGCCCGTAGTAGGTTGTAAAGATACAATAATTCCAATTTGAAATATATTTGACAAGATTTCTCCTGTGTCATGGGTACAAATATACAATTTCACATACACATTACACCCAGACTCGGAACAACAATTTGTGGATCACATAAAAAGTTGTACCGTGCGGTAAACGAACCCGCGACTCGTTGCCCGACAGTCAGCCCAGCCACCATACCGACCGTACAGTCCAACTTTGTGAGAGCTACATTGCATATTAAGATATTATTTATTTTAAAGTATGAGCTCTTAGCCTATAAGTTTCAATACACGGCACACAGATGCAGCGCGGGTGCACTTCTCACCCCTTTATCGCCCAATGTGGGGTGGCATCCCCCGTCAACATTCGTACCTAACTCACGTACCTAAAGTTCGTATAGTTTGAAAGCATCATATTGATAAGCCAGTCGTTTCGAAACCTCTCACGTCCGACCTTAGTCGAGGCCATTATGTGGGTGCAGAGCAAGAGGAACTGTAAAGCCGTGTTCTCTTTCTGCGAAGTAGTCATGCTCGCAAAGGAGAAGGCAGAGCACGAGAGAGAACTATCCTGCTCACGGCCCAGCCACTGCAGTAGGCGACACTCTGGGCGTTGGGGATCGAGAGACGATCTCCGGCTCTGTAAGCGCGGTTCTACGAACGGCGAGCAGACCAAGGTTAGCTTTGCCCGACCAGAACCAGACCCGAGCCCGAGCCCGATATTGTTACGTACGTAAACCTAACAATATCGGCCTTAATATTCGTCACAAAGTTGCCATGGTTACGGACTTACGGTATAATATGTAGCACTTGGTGGCTATGTATGGATAAATAGTGCCACGACGTCAATTATGTTCTGACGAAATTTAATATTCTGGTACCTACTTATATTTTAAAATTTATTTCAATCACCTAGGTATTTATCGACGATTTACTGTGAAAAACAACGAGGCCCTATTTTTAGTTTATACATACACGTAAATATCAGGTCGGTCGTGGTGGCCCGGAGGTTAAGGCGCCCGCTTCTCATGCATGAAGGTGCGGGTTCGAAACCTGGCAAGTACCAATGTGACTTTTTCCGAGTTATATGTACTTTCTATGATTATTTAGACACCACTGACATACGGTGAAGGTAAACATCGTGAGGAAACCTGGACTTATAATTTCTAATTATAAGTTTGAAATCGCCAACCCGCATTGAGCAAGCGTGGTGATTAATGCTCAAACCTTCTCCGTGTGAGAAGAGGCCTTTGCTCAGCAGTGGGCACTTATAGGCTGATGATGATGATGAAATATCAGGTCTTACCCTTCTTAAGATAACGTATCTGAATACACCAGTAATACAAACACCATTGCAGTGCTGGGTGCACTCCTCATCTCCTAACCCTCCTTATATGGAGGCAGTCCCCCGACAGTGCCGGATTAACCACATACAATATGCTACGGGTCCCACGCAAAAGCAGGCCCCGCGTAACCAAATATATCTTTAACTTAGTTAGTTGTTTTCATTTTGATAAATAATGTGTACCGTCTTAGTGATTTAGGGATATGCTTAAGATTTATCAAAGGTAGATTTATTCTAGGTATCCTTACAGGTAAAACGATTGGATATAACCTCAAATCACTTCCCTGACGTCACTTTAAGTTTGATTCATACATCCAATGATTCACAATATAAAGAAAAAATTGCTTTGGGCCCCATGCTCAACTAATCCGCCTCTGTCCACCGTCGGTGTTTGTTTTACCAACACATGTACGCGTAGATAATAGAGACTACTAAAATTAGTACCATGAAAATCCACTCGAATCAAACAAATAGGAATATCGAGTTGATCCTGAACAATCGAATGTCGTGGTGGCCCGGAGGTTAAGGTTTTCGTACATGACGCGCGTTCAGGCGCGATGGATTCGAAACCTGGCAAGTACCATAGCGACTTTTTCCGAGTTATATGTACTTTCTATGATTATTTAGACACCACTGACATACGGTGAAGGTAAACATCGTGAGGAAACCTGGACTTATAATTTCTAATTATAAGTTTCAAATCGCCAACCCGCATTAAGCAAGCGTGGTGATCAATACTCCAACCTTCTCCGTATGAGAAGAGGCCTTTGCACAGCAGTGGGCACTTATAGGCTGATGATGTAGTTGATAGAGACTGCTCAATTTAATACCATGAAAATCGACTCGTATCAAACAAATAGGAATATCGAGTTATCTTTGATAAAAGTTCTTACTCCGTTGGCAACGTCTAATAATTTCTCAAAAAAATAAACGAAAGGAAAAATTGAGCTGTTCGCCGTTGAAGAATGCCATGGTCTTCTATTGGAGACTATATACGATATAACAGAATCAAATGTAAAAAACATTGCTTTTTTTTCTTACGCATTAAAACGCCACTGAAAGTGAAAGTGAGGGTATGTGACCTTCCACAGGTCATATTTTAGCCCTATTGAGAGACACCCACGCACATAAGGATAAATTAGTTTAAAGCTGTTGCGATGTGTGAAATACATTTTTATGCTAATTTAATGCTACTTAAATTATGTGCGCTATGCGACTGTTTACAATCGGATATGATGCTAGCGTTAAAATGTATTTAAGTATACTTTATTAGTTAAAGCTTATAAAAAGAAAAAAAATGTGTCTGACGCCAAAGACCGGTGACTAATGTATCAGAATCACAATCTCTAAATAGCCCGATGTGCGATATAAATGATTCACTTAAATGCCTTTTACTGTCTCAAACTATAAAAGTAGCAAATAAGCACAGGCATCTTTCCTTTCCAGAAGTGACAGTAGCAGCCAGTACTGGATGGGAGCAGTGAGAGACCCACAGGACCCCGCTAACTGGAAGTGGGTGAATGGAAATGACGTCACAGTTTCCTTCTGGAACGCTCCAGGTGGCGGTGAAGGATGTGCCCGCTTCGACGGCAGCAAGGGCTGGCTCTGGGCCGACACCGAATGCCAAGCAAGATTGAACTACATCTGCCAACACCGTAAGTCTATTATGCTTCTGCAGCTTTAACGTACTTGTGACGTTGGAGTTTTAAAGGCTTCTAGATGTTATGTGTCTTTGCGATTGCGAATTTTTCTATTGTTTATTGTGTTAAGATATTTGCCTTTCCATGCAAACTCAATTTCTACTGCTCTGCTATGGTAACATGTGTATAGGCCTTGCTGGTTTGATACTTGCGAATGTTTTTACTGCATATTTATTTATAACTACGGCCCCTTTTTATTCCGTTTTAAGTTAATATTTAGTAAGTAATCCATAATATGTTCTCGTTTCTCAATCGTGTGGTCAAGAAAGAGAAAAACAACCAGTAGTAATTGCGTTCTTCTATTGCAGTTCTTGGTTTATAAAATAAAATACAATACCATTATCAATTAAAAAAAAAACATCAACCCCAGTCTAAAGGACCTATTCAATCAGTACTTCAACATCTTTACTCTTGCCTATCTCTGGTTCATTTCACTGATAGTCCTCAATTTCCTTGTCTCCAGAACCGAAAGCTTGTGGTCGTCCTGAACAGCCTCCGAACTCTACCATGTCGGCAGACAGCTTCGAAGTGGGAGCCTCCGTGGAGTATTCGTGTGATGATGGACATCTTCTTGTAGGACCCACAGTCAGGACATGCCTTGATACTGGTTTCTACGACGAATTCCCACCAGTTTGCAAACGTAAGTGAGATAAGCAGTTCCATAGTGTTTTGTGGTCAAAGTTTGAAGTTTTTAACGAGCATTTGGATTAGCTGGTGGTAAGCAATCGGTGCCACCCATAGACGGTTGACCACGCAGTAACACCAAAGTCATCAATCATCACAAGAATGCGTTGCCAGCCTTTTGCGAACTAGAATTACGGATACTTATAGATTGGGGAGGGATAGGGGGAGGGGAAGTATTGGGCTTATGGATACCTCACTCACACGGCAAAACACAACGCTGTGGTTGTTTCACGCAGGTTTTTTGTAAGGCTGTGGTATCACTCCGGTCGAGCCGACCACCAAAGCGGTTTTCCTTCAATATAAATGTATCTTTAACAACGATAGGCACTGTTGTTCACTCTTCAACAGTTCTTATTATGAATTTAAAGGAGAGCCACAGTGTTTTATTGGCTATACATTAAGAACAATCTCAAGTTACATAACAAACAGTGAAAAAAACTCATGAAAAATTGAATAGTTTAATTACTATTAAGTTATCATCGATTTAACTCGCTCAAACAAGTACCTATCGAACTCTATGACGTGTTTATTGGAGAGCTCTGTCCCGGTTGTCCAAAAATGGACGGACATTGGTTATCTACCGATGATATTGATGATTATAGAAACTGGTCGATGATCACAATGATTTTGATGAGGTTTACAACAGTTATGATTAGGAAATAATAAAAATTCGTCATGTCACAGGTATCGAGTGCGGCTTCCCAGCGGAGATCCCTCACGGATCGTACGAGCTGATCAACGGGTCCATCTCCTATCTATCACACGTTCAGTACGACTGCGAGCCTGGTTACGAAATGGTGGGCAGGTCGAGGCTCGTGTGTGACATCGACGAGAGGTGGAACGGGCCACCACCCAGATGTGACGGTTAGTCCTTAAAGAAACTAATTACTTTTGATTCAATATCAGTGTCGATCTTCTATCCGGCACATTGTGAATTAAAACTGTTTATGAAATACAAATTAATAATAATAAGAATGAAATTATGTCAGTGAGGAACCTCATTTTACCCATTCCATTGTGTCCCTTGTGATAGGGAATAAACCTAACACATTGTGTGCAATTCCATTCTCGGTGCTACTACTATAAAATTTTAATAATACACCCAAAATTATAAAATCCATAGTTGCGACCAGCAACCAAGCGGCAAGCGTGAATCAAATCAAATCAAAATCATTTATTTCAACTAAACCATAAAAAAGTACTTTTGAAACGTCGAAATAGAACAGTCTGTTCGTCAGTGAAGCTAGGTGCTCCCAACCAGAACTCAAAAAATATGACTTCATTGTTATAAAACTGTAATATTGTTTTTCCAGTGGTCCAGTGCGAGGATCCTCCTCAAATTGCTAACGGTCGAGTGTATATCAGCCACAACACCTCAGTTTTCGGCTCAGTGGCCGAGTACACGTGCGGTAGAGGGTTCAAGCTGGTCGGAGCCAAACGCATAGCCTGTCTAGCCACCGGTCTTTGGGACAAACCAGCGCCTAACTGCCAATGTAAGCTACTGAAAATACTTTTTCCTACTATATACTGAAACTTCAAAAATATTTATGGACCAATTTCGTCCGTTACTTACACAAGTCTTGGTTATCGCTAAGAGATTTATTTAGCAACGCTAAAACAAAATGCTACCTGCGTCTACATTTAAATTTCTTTCTTTGTGACCACATCGTTCTACATCCGTGAGGGTATTTTAGTTTCCTTATATAATTAAGAAAATATTAGTGGTATAGTAACGTGATTATTTGTTTACAGTGGAGGAACGTTCGACAACGACTCCAGTGACAACGAGCACGGCACCAATAACTACTACTGCGGCTCCACCCCCTCCCACTCCCACCAGCCCTCGCATTGTCCTCCCAACGAGACCACGGACTTCTCCTCGCCCATTGTCCTCCCCAACACCATTTGCCACCGCAACGTCGGAGCCACCACGCAGACTCCGGCCAAAACCGACCACAGACCGACCAACCACAAGAACATACGAACGACCTCCAGAAAGGAAGACCACAGTACCAGATAATCAAGACTCTCCCACCAGTCACATACCTCACATCATTGTAGCGAGCCATCCAAGGGAAAACCAGGTAGATAAATATGAGCATAATTATGATATGTGTGTGAAAAGTAACTGTGTCTTGAGTTTGCAAATACCTATAAGAATATTGAAGGTTTTGATACCAAAGGTCTTCCCTCAGGCGTTTGATCTAGACTCACAATAATTATTATATCTTCTCCTACTCCTATGTACACAAAGCTACAGCAGCTACATTTAACCTTAATCGGCAGATCGTGGGCAGCGGTAACAACATCAGAGCCGAGCAGACACCACGTGTGAACGTACCTCAGCCGGTAGACGGCGAGCGTCGCGACCCAGTGGGCGCCAGGTTAAACATTGGCGCTGTCGTCGCTCTTGGGGCTTTTGGAGCACTCGTCTTCCTCATAGCCATCATCACCACAATAGTAATCCTCGTCCGAAGGTAAGCAGAACAAGAGCCATGTATTTAGATGACGTAGAGGTGAACGAAAAAGCTTCAGAATGTTAGCTCGGTTTGGTCCCTGTTATATAACAGTAGTACTAGCATTAATAGTATCTAAACGTTAATTCCTTTGTTGAATAACATGAAGCAGACCCAGTCAGGTAGTACCTTAACATTAGGTAAATTACCAAAAATGGTGTAGTAGCTGTTTATGGTCGAGGTAAGTAAAGAACACTACAGCCAATAAAATGCCCATCATTTATATGTGGACCTCAGATAAGAGCTTCGTAAGAGAGCGAAACAATTTTCCATTTTAAAAATTATCATTTTTTTTATATTTACTTTGCCAATTATATGTTTGAGTTTTAATAAAAGGAAAACTAATTCTGACATCTCGTATAAAACGAGAATCCCAAAATCAATTATGGCACACAGATACACAACCCCATTATGAACAACCAATACCTGCCTCACAAGTTAACGTTCACTGTGTAATAGTACTGAGAATGGCATGCAGTTAGCAGTACCTACCTAGTACTGGTATGTAGGTGCATCACGCTTACAGTAGGTCACACCCTCGCCCATCGTCGAGCGAGCAAAAGCTGCAGGTTAAAGCGACACACTACATAAGTGATTGGTACACCAGCGGAGGGCCAAAGCGGCCACCGCCGGCGGTCCGCGAGCTCCCCTCCCGGTGGTACACGCTCTTGGCCCTCCCGTTCCCCGACCAGCAAGTCGGCAGGCGCGAGTTCGCCCGAACTCACCGCCACACGCATCGTGCCGGACACTTCTCCAACCCTTTATAGCCAGTGCGTTTGTTTAAGGTACTACGTTGACATCGTGGTTGACCACCCGCGGCTACTTACACTTGTCATTAAATTTGAAAACCTTTAAATTAACAATAGTGGTTCATTGCATCCCATTGTACCTATGTCTGTTGTGTTAACCAACCACCATGTCATCGCTACACGCACAGGGATTCGGATAGCACGCGCCTTTGAAATCACTATGAGGGTACAATTCCATATGTCACACTGCAACCAACGTGTACTTTATGTGTTAGACCAACCAGTTCACAGCTTTACACCCAGTCAGATAGAGGAACCTTGGAACTCGGGGAGTTACTCTCCTCAAACATCGCTTATAAAACTCACACGTCTCACCGTTTCGGCGCTCAACCGTCACGCACCCGGCAGGATTGCTTGACGCCAATCGACACAACTTATTTACTATTTCACACACAACCCACACCAAGCACCGTCATGTACATATAATCTCAACTGTGTTTTACTACTCGGTACTTTTGTATTGTGCAAACTTCCAATGTGTCCTAGCCCTTATTATTTTTTTATTTAAGACTTCTAACATATGATACGATAACCGGTATCGTTAATTGAAATTAACACCCCGTTTTAAATTCCCGTTTTAGTAATGATTTAAAACAATGTATTGTATTCTAATAAAATGCAATGATTAGCAGGAAGCAGAACGATTGCAAGCGGTACAGACACCACGTGTCGCCTGACTGCAACACGGTGGGCTCACTGGACTCATCGTCGTCGGAGTCCCGGAGCGGGCTGAACCGGTACTACCGGCAGGCGTGGGAGGAGCTGCACGAGGCGGCCGGGGCCAAGCACGCGCACCGCCGGCACGAGCGCGAGGCGCCCAAGGACGGCTCCGAGCTGGTCGTGTCGGACGTGTACCCGGCGCACCACGCGCGCGACAAGCGCCGCCACCACCACCACCACCACCACCGCGAGCCCCGCCACCCTGACTGGCACTCCCCGCATCGCCCACCCCACAACCATAAACCTAGATACTAAACAAGACTGCCTAATCGTCAGACTTATTGGACGTTGAAACTTGTGACTAGGTTCGGTAAAGTGTGTACAATTGTACATCGTCGCACAATAATGTAAGATTTACAACCACTTTGTAAAACTTACATTATCTAGGCGAGACGACTTACACAATACAGTTCTGTAGATTGTCGCCCATTGGTTTCCAAAGATAGCTCGGAAATGTTAACAAAAATTAGACAATTTCGTACTCTATCCAGTAGCCAGTTACTATTGAATTATTTATTTGATGAAGAGTGGAATTAATTTAGGGCTAGGCATAGGCAGTCTCGACGTAAACAGAATGTACCAAATAGCATTGCTTGTAACCACTTTTAATTAATATTTGTGTATAGAGACATATTTATAATCGTAATCTTAGATTCGTTTAACGTTTTGTTATATTCAATAACATATTAGCATTCTAGCCCCAAACAACGTTCAAATGTTAGCAATTTTATATTCCCGTTACTACGCGAAAGTATCAGAGTTTGTTGGTTCTGCAAAGAAGATTACAAAAGTGAAGGGGGCTAGTTTGAAGATTGGGAATAAGCGTGTGTTTTCCTAAACACGAAGCCGCGGGCGGGAGCTAGTTTAATCTATCACACTAGTTTGTACAGGTACATGTACCTACTAAGTGTCGTATCGTATATCTTTCCTGCTTGGACTATGATTACCTTGATCTTTTCTTAATGTTATCATAAATATTGTATTATTTCATATTTCAAATTTATTACGTAGTTAGTAAGCAATTATAGAGATTTGTACATAGTTATATTAGCTAGGTATGTAGGTGTCTGTAAGATAAGATTGAAGATAATCATTGTTAGCTGCTGTAATTTCCCTCTGTTATATTTCAATTTTTGTTAGTTTATGTTATTTAAGTAGCTTGTAAAAATCTGTGAGTATAAAAAAATATTATGATTGATATTGTGTTGTGGCATCTTTGGACCTAGATAAGTTTTCTTTCAAGTGTGAAACTACGCTCATGTGTGCATAAATTACTAAGACACTTGTTTCTTTAAAAATGAATCTTAATACAAAATCTACATGTATGGTACAAAGTAATATTAAAATTACGACAATGCTGATATGTGTCAAGTACAAGTCGTCATTGGCGCGTGCTTACAACGAAAAGAGTAATCTAATGTGCCATTACAGAGGCAGACATAGGTAGGAAGTTCACAGGTTGGATATTATTATAATTAATGTTAATTAAACAATGTAATTAGTTTTAAACATGTATGTAAATATTATTTAACACAAACGTTTACATAATTGCTCAAAACATCGAATTTTATTCAACGAAACTGACTTATTGGAATAGTAAAACGTTCTGTCATATGGCGCTGTAATCGTTTTTGGTCGTCTAACTAGACTATACAGAAAAACATTTTATACATATTTATAACTGTAGTTCCCTCAAAATCCGTTACATGTTAGCGGTTGGTTTCTGGTTGGATTAGTTAAAACTGTCAGACTGATTGGAAGTTATTGAATTTATGAATGAAAAGATAATTTATTCTCGTATTACGTATTTATTTGTAAAACCCTGTTGACAAGGCTCCCGTACAATGTTTCGTACGAAGCCAGTCGAGTAAGAATGTTTATCTAGGAATGTATTAGCATTGTATCCTGCAAATTTAATCGAAATCGAAATTATTATAAATCCGAATCATACTAGTATTAAACTTTGTGATAACTGAACTGGTTTTGTTTTATTTTTACCTTTCCACTTTTGGTTACTTACCAAAAGGTATAATGATGACGAAAATGTAATCTAGTCCATTATTAGTTAAAAATTGAAGACGAAAAGCACACACATCAGCAGCCCATGACCGTCTATTGGTCGTCCCCTAGTCCCTAAACTGCTTTGGCAGTCGACACCATTGGTGAAATTTGCACTGATTTATGGTGTAAATTAACCTTTGACTAGAGGGCCGGCCGGGAGGGAGTGTCTCTTACTAACTAAAAAACACCCAGTTCCTTCACCTGTCTTGGTTCGAAGCCGCGGTGACTCATTGCCCCGCAACCCCGGCAAACTGACCCTTAAGCATCCGCTTGTCATATGCTCATGCATGAGGAGGTCGGTTTGTGAAACCTTGCTAGTACCCATGCGACTTCTTCCGAGTCATATGCACTTTCTAAGTTAATTATGACACCACAGAAATTAGATTGAAGCAAAACATCGTGAGAAAACTTGGACTTAAGTTTGAAATCGCCAATCTGCCTTGAGCAAGCGTGGTTATTAATGCTCATAATAATCTTTTCCGTGTGAGAAGAGGCCTTTGCACAGTAGTGGACTGATGATGTGTACGATATGTGATGAACTTAAACAGGCTGTTTGTTTCTTGTACAAAATCATTATTCATCAAAAATCTGTAAGTGTTGAACAGGTCATTTACTAAGAAAGTAAAGGCTTCAAAACACCAAGCACGGCCGATAGGAACCGAACCGAACCGAACACGGGATAAAATAAACAACGGACATATATATTACTTCTTTATTAGTTTCTGAAATTAACTACGCATACAAAAGGAGGTACATTGCTTTGTGTTCAATCCTTGTTTGGATATAATCTCAACTTTAATATAGATCTAATTGGTGTAACGCTATAACTAAACAATTTCCAAGGCAACTGCTATTGCTATTCAATATACCACTTCAACTTACGACACAATTAAACTTTGCAACTGGTTTTATGACTTAACGTAATAGATTTACAGCTGAAATGAGTACCGATCCAAATTCAAAACCTGAGAGTAAGTTACTTTTACGATACTGCGATCATACGGTTGTCGCGATTAGCCCTCTGATTGGTTGGTTTACTTGGAGCCAGCCAATCAGAGCACCGATCGACATAAGAGTATCGATCGCCTTAACGTAAAGAAAACTCACTTGGCACTCTTTAAATTGAGAATTTTTAAATTTAGATCAGTTAATAAAATTTGCTGATAAAGAAGAGAAAGCATATAAACTTTTCATTTTCAGAGTTTGTAATTTATCAAGTCAGCCATCGTGTAAAACAAAGCACAGAAACGACGTCACTTCATAAGTCCTCGTTTAGTAGAGACGCTACTAAAACGCTGTATTTTAATCCATGTCATAAACATTTTTTTACTTTTACGATGGATCAATCAGACTTAAAGTCTCACTAACGCCATCTAGTGAACACAAAATGATAACTCTTAAATTGCAAATAATTTTAAACACGTAGATGCATTGGAAGTGCGTCAACCGTAACGTAATGCAAATTAAAGCTTAACATAATATTATTATTACTAAACTAAAACAATAATTACAATCTCTTAATAAAGAGCAGCTTAAATTTGTCACGTAAAAGTATGAAGAAAGCATGCCATCTTTTTCACTTATATAAGAATATTTAAAGAGAGACAAAGACAGCTGTAGTTTAAATAATTCGGTAAATATAGTGTTTATAAAAGTTTAAACAAATGATCTTGTGTTGATTGTATTTTGTAATTTACATAAATATATGATAATTCGAGACAAAAATGTATGTATATACACATTGATGAATAAGCCAAAGCGAGTACTACAGTACAATTCATCTCGAACTTAATGCATGTAACTTTAAGGTTCTATTTACATATTCTCCAGTCGAATCTTAGTACGTTTTAGAGATCAGCGAAAGACAATACGATAACCACGCTACGTACAAGCTTATTATACATTATCGAGTCAAAAGCAAATTCGACCTTATAGAACGTCTCATAAAGTCGCAAATTCCACAACCAATTCACAATGTTCTTTTGAACTTAGATTTTCTTTGTTTCTACATAATACCTATACAATTATTTTGTTTTATAATCATTATGTATGCATTAATGAGGCACTGCGAGTGAGAATATCAAGTAAAATGATATCTTTGTACATAATTATTATAAAATGCAAGATTTATAATACTGAATAACAAAAAACATTGCATTTTAATAAGTATTATTATGTGTATTGCATTTGTGATTTGAAAACAACTGCGTCCAGCTGTGACATGTAGTTTCATAGTCTTATTTTAGTATGAATAAACTGTTTTATGTGTAACAAAATTGACATCTGACACATGGTTTAAATCTCAAAATGCTATAACAAATCAGTGTTAAGATCCTAATTGCTTAAAAGATACAAATCAACGTAATAAAATATAAAAAAGAGAAAATATGTAAAAAATAGAAAGCAATAAAAGAAGGCACCAAAAAGAAATATAAGTTCTTTTTTTATTTTCAAAGACAGCACAGTTCAGTCGGGCTATTATAAATTGATATAAACCAAGCAATTATAGTCCTTAACGTAAAGAGAATAAGATAACTATAACCAAGTTTCAAATAGGCACTAACCAGCTGTTGATGTACATAGTGGTTACTATGGAGAGACTTATGCACGAAAGATGAGAGGGTTTGTTGAGCAGAGGACTTTTTTTTAAAGTGCAACAACTAAACACTTGTAACTTTTTATAGAGAAATAGTGCTTATATTGTATTTTTACAAATTAATTCGCGCGACTGAACAATGACAGTGTATAATAGACAATATGAAGAATATTTGTAGTTCATACTTATAAGGCCGCTATTAACGAAGAACGAATCACTAACATAACAATACTAAGACCAATCTTTTGGCATTGCGAGTTAGAAATTTCGTTAATAGATTAACAACTTTATAACAAGAGGCTGTAAGACGCAATTTAGTTACCTAATTCCTGCAAGTCCTGGTCACTCCAATACATTTTAAATTGTATTACAAAGTCATACCGCTGATAATCCATTAAAGAAATCGGGAATATCATGAAGTTGGCCAAATAGAAATAAAAAAGAAAAACTTTTAGGAAGACTAATTTACTAGTAGGTAAAAAAATATATATGATACATAGCGAATGGAACGCCATTGCGGTCGTACATTCAATTTTCAATTTTATAACAATATTTATAAGAATAAAAATTACATGTTTCAATTGAAAGGATGCGTGACACGACAGTGTAGTATCAGCATTCGAAAACTCATTTTAAACACGTGTCTGTTTCATTACATATATAAAAATATACCTACAAAGATATTATGAAATATATATTATATTGAAAAATCACTACTACTTATTAATAAGTTCTTTTGCTTAGGTTAGTTATAAACTTGTGTGGAGAAAGACTTATAGATACGACCATCTTTTTTTTTTTGATTGTACTATGTTTCAAATGTTTATTGCTTCTGTGGTATTAATTTTATACACACCTAGCTCAGAATAATGATTTTGGGAACACTCTGACTTCGCTTAAAAAACATAAATCTTTTAGGCCACAGTTTTTAAGTCTTTTTTAGTATTTATCTACTAACTCTAACTCATTTCTCCACACAAGAGAAGAGAATCCGAGTAAGTAGGACCTGTTGAAGATGTCCACAGAATACCAATACTATGGGGAATTACAATACTTAATACATACGCGAACGCGACAACGATACGATTAAAAAGTCCGACACCCACCGTGATTTCAACCGTATTCTAGGTATCAATAAAGCTGTTTTTAGAACGTATCTTGATAGTACCCCGGGTGGTACGCAACTATGAACTTTAACAACGACGGAAGCCGACCTAAAACAAAGCGATTGTCATATTTATCATAACCTTACTACGATTACAGCTAACACGTGTAATATTTACAAATACGTACATTGTATAGTAAATAATTATTTGTAAATAGCTTGTATCTTTCCTAGTAAATATTGTGTATCTTATATTATTTAGAATTGTTATTGCTTGTTGTGTAAATAACCCTATTAACCTTTTGACTGTATACACAGGACTATATGATTGTGTCTGGCTTCGGTCTGCATACTAACAGACCAGTGCTATGAACTAAATGGTATTCGATTTAAAACTACCGTAAAACAGAATGAATACAATTCGAGGTATGGACAGATTTACAAAAAGGGGTGAATAGATCTTGAAGAATTTTCCTAGTATCTATTAACCCCTCTTCTGCGTTAATTCAGCCCTCGAATTCTATTAACCCTATTTCTCAGTATTCAAAAATGATACAATTTTTTTTTTTGAAGGGATTATCCTCACATCCCTTCTCCCGCCCAGAGTGGAGCGGGAGGGAGTGTCAGACTCTTGCTGACTAAAAATCCCCCTGTTCTTTCTCCTGCTCTAGGCCGAGGCCGCGGTGACTCATTGAGCTTACCCCGCAACCCCGGAATTATGATACCTTGAAGTGAATTTCGCCACATATCAGTACAAATCACAGACATACATAGATCTTTATTTATTTATTTATGCAATTTGTCATATGGTTATGCCAGAGCCAAATAAATCCTATTGCAGGATGACATGGTTCACTATTGTTGTTAGATTTTTTTATTATCTTGGCCAAATGGTCTACTAAAGAATGTCATTAGGTTTCATAGCACTGGGTGTTAATGCAGACGATTCTACTAGTTATCTAATACTACATACTCACCTAGCTGTAATGCAAACGTGCAATTGTACTAGTGATATTTACCTAATTTATTAAAGCGTTTAACGGTTGAGTGCTTTTTATCCAATGAATTACTTAGTCACTATAACAACTGTACATATTTAACTCAATTTAATATATATTATGCAGCAAACGATAACACTTCGACGGACCAATCTGTGGCAAAAATTGTGATGGCGTATTTTTTATTCTTAAATATACTGTATAGTACAAAATACTTATAATATGATAAATATGACAATATAATATTAAGATACAACGCTTACGCTATAGAACAATTTTACATTTTGAATTTGAACCAGCATAGCGAGTTTAGCTTTGCCAAAACGGAACATCTCACGACGGAATACGGTAAATGCGAAGGAAAAGCGTCTTTAACAACAACGTTTATGTGTAAGTACTTGTATACAAAAATTTGTTTGCAAACAAATATCATTTTCCCATGAAAAAGGTTAACCCTGGTTATATTATTGTACTAAATAACCAGTTCATCTTGATCTCTGATTTACCATTTTTCCTTCACAGCTCAGTATACCCTTAACGGGCCTATTTATGATTGCCAGCAGAAAACCGACTTTACGGTAGCTTCGTAACTTTCAATACACGAATTGAGAGTAAGCGAGATAGTAATAGACAATAAACAGCTTCATATATCAACACTACATATATAAACGCCCAGTTAGCTATTAAACCTAAAAATCTCGCGTGTGATGTTTAGTTTAAAAATATTATTTGGAAGCAACAACACTGGGAATCTAGCTATCTTTGTCTAACACTTGCAAAAGGCAACTGTGTGACAGAGACACACATATAAAAAAATGTTCATAGTAATTTTACTATGTGCTAAAGAGCGTTTATAGATGTCCAATCTATACCTACGTACTTAGCTGTAACTAGGTATACAATAAAAAAATATCTTCATGTACTTAACACATTTGGCGTATCTAGCACACTGTTTGCACCCACGCGGGCATTTTTACATATATACTCTATCTATATTCATTTTACTAATAAAAAAAACTTAATTCCAAGTAATTTAACTATACGATAATGTATAAAATTGTTAATTGTAAAATAAATACGAAGGAATACATGATTTGTGACCGTTTGCCGTTGACGCTCGAGGCTTCAGACCATTGTTGATAAACATATAAAAAAATAAAGCTCAGAATACCCATGGCCGACCGATCAGCCGATTCCATCAATCTGGATTGGATTTTCGACTTAATGTACAAATCTATAAAAGTTGAAAATATCAAAAAAATCTATATAGGCCTTGTTTGTATATTTGAACGAGCGCCACGGTTGATTTTCTTTAATATATTTTCTCCTAAACTAGAGAAAAAGTTAAAGAAAGATAATGTTGTATAATACATGATTTTGTTATTCCTGTATGGTTTGTATTATACCAAAGTATAATTGTACAGTGATTTGATTGGTTAGTCAAGCTACAGACTAATGCAACTGAAAACACAGGTATGCTTTTAACATTTCACTGATTTCTTTATTGAAAAATGTATACCACGTGAGGTTTTTTAGAATGGCAATTATTATTGAACTTAGTTACCATTTATAACGGTTATTTAAAACATATTTGTAATATAACTAGCATGTTATGTTAGTCAATAGGTAGATAGCTATCTTAAAATAATAATAAAGAAGAATTTAATCATCTAGGTCAACGGGCAATGTTGAAAGAAAATAATAATTTTGTGCAATATATGGCTTATGCTTATTTTACATTATTATATGATAAATGTCGAAAATCAATCAGAGATTAAACAGATTCTAATTCATAGGTTAAACAAAAGTTTGCTTTTTTGCAAATTAGCGAGGCAAAAAGCCGACAGATTACCTGAAGGTAGATGATCAGCGCCCACAATACTAAATCACAACTACATTGCCACGCGTATCTTCTAAAAAACCTAACGTGATAAAACATCTGTACTCAGCACCGCAAAATCATTCAAACACAAACCACAATAAGGTTGAATTTAGCATACCTGTGAATTATATTTTTACTGTTTCGTCCCTAACACATCAGCAATGTCCAGATACTTAACAAAAAGAGAAACGAACGGATATAATAACGTAGATACTTTATATTCCTATATTCTATATACTAATGTAGGTACTTTTATTCCGTGATTTAATGATCAAATAAATATATCAGTAACGATGAATATAATAAACTGGAAATTAACATTTTTTATATGAAAGGTGTATAATATTCTACTGATTTGTAGTTCTTTATTATTGCGTTTATTTTATAATGTTAATTTCACGTTTAGTGTGTATATGTAGTGATCACAAAGATTAACGCTAAGCGATGCTTAATTAGCGGTTTAATCGCCAACACTGCCGCCGGCACTTCGCCTCCTGAAAACGATAGTTCAATTGGTTAGTTTAGAATATGAAGTCAATATATTATGAATTAAAACATGTATAATATTAACTAAACATCGCGGGTTATTCACGGGTGTAATTGAGAAAAGCTATCTCGCGCGTCGTCAGTCGGCTGCGCGACGTCGCCGCGTCCGCGCAAACTGCTTATGAGGAAGAACCCACCTGTGGTTCGAAACTAGTAGAGCTTTTCTCAATATATACACGTGAGTAACCCGCGATTTTTATTTAATTTAGTATGTCTCACGATAGTTATTATAAAAACATGTATAATATTTATAAATATCCGTGAGAACCGCGAAGTGAATAACAAACACATAGATTATATTATGTAAACAAAGAGCTCCCAACACTCGCTATGGATTTCGCCTTGCAATTCTCACGTCTGCGTTCAGAGCAGTTCAACTCTCAAAGAGCAAATCAGTATAATTCATATCCCGAATGTTCAGTCAGAATAGATCGGCGTATACAATTGTTTCGTCAAATGTGAATAGTGGACAAAAATCTTTAAAAAGCTGTAAATATTACTACAGCAAACAACATAATACTACGAGAACATGTAAGTAAAAAAGTACATAATAATATAGCCTTCTTCAATTTAAATTCGAAATTTTATGTCTACCTTTTTATAACATATGTATGTAATAAATTATTAAGACAACGGCCACTTTTTACCTGGGGTAACACAATAGTACTGACGTTAATTTTAAACAAAATCTGTCTACGGTAGTGCAAATTGAAGTTGGATGTCTCATTACTGGTGTTTTTAAAGCCGTCAAAGGCTATTGCTATTTTTTTTAATAAATGCATGTACCTATCGGCCGCCATGAGGGCTTGGTGTGCGTCTCTCTGAGCGGAGACCTGCACTAGTTCCGCTACCGTCGCCGCCTGCTGCTCCGCTGAAACGTTAAATACACCATCAATCAATTGTTTTCCTACAATCAATCAATAATCTTTTTTCCTACATAAAAATATTAGAAGTATCTAATAGTAGGTAAGAAAACTGAAATTATGGTCTGGTTCGGTTATAAGAATAAATATTAAAAATCTTTATCGAATTTTGAAACAACATAAACACGGGGGCGACACCGAATATGTTTTGACATTTGATTTTAAATTGCTTTAAAATGAAATTAACCACACATAAATTAAAAAGCAAAGCCCGTGGCAAAATGGTTACTATTTCGTTTCGCAATGGACAAACTACTGACTACATATGAAGATGCCAATGATAGCATGACAACTAACACTAATACTTACGTTTTCGTCAAAAAACATTTTGATAAAAATTATACAATTTACCAGACAGAGGTCGTGTCAATCGTCGTTCGAGCCGCGCTAGGCGTCGAGCAGTGGGTTCGTCACGCGGTTCCTCTCGCGCACGGCGCTGTGCCACGAGGCGAGCCCATCTCGCCTCGAACCAGAGCTGCATGGCGTCTCTCTCGTCGACATCAACCGCGCTGCTACTCGGCCCTGCTGTTAGTGGGTTACGATGACCGTGGAATGATGTTACATGGTTCGCTTTTATGCTGGTTTTATAATGCCAAGCTGGCAGGCGCGGATCCAAGATTTCATTAATTCATATATTTGTTTAAGTCATTGACTGTCGACAGATAACTGTTGAGGGCTAATCCTCGGCTAGCGTGGCCAACGTGAACTAATGTCTGATGTACCGGTTACCTAAAGGTTTTGTAATTCCAAAAACATGAAAAGAATGTTGCTAATTGGATCCGCGCCTGGTCGAAATGTAGAAATTATGTGGCCACTATGAGGCTATGGTGATGCACTAGAACTGACTAGAATCTAAATCTATTCTGAGCTGCAACACATTAATATGCAACTACACGACACAATGCACTTACTAACATCGAATTGGGTACCTTCCTCAAGTCAAACTCAATACTTTCATTTTAAATTATAATTTTATTACTTTCTTAGAAATTTTCTACATATTAACGTTGTGACGTAATAAATTAAATTTGATAAATTGAGTGCAAAAAATCATTTAATTAAAGTATTTTTTACGAACTTTTTGATCGAGGAAATCACCCAATTTAACGATTAGATTATGAAACTTTTTAAATGAAAATACGCATACTTCATGGTGACAAAATTACTGTTTGAACTCCTAATAGTTAGTAGTACATACTCAATGCGACGAAGCGACACTTTTAATTGAAAATATGAACAGAAATTATAAGGTAAGTGTACACGAACCTGCTACTCTATGCGTGGGGCGGTGTTCCACTGGCGGACAGTAACTGGCCGGTGGTGGGGGCACTGGGGGAGCTTCTTGTAAAGCCCCCGTGGACTTGTGAGCGTTCGACAGTATTTGCGGCTCCTTTAACACAAACATCGTGCGGTGAACACTCAGCCTTATAAATATTAGACGTAAAGTGAACTTTGAACTCTATTATTAACCATGGTGAAGGTATTATTTCCTTTGTATTATTATTATTTAGTTCTAAGTGAAGTAAAGTAGAGAATACGTTGAAATTAGTTAAACTGAACTTTATATACAGTTAACTGAAGGCACTATTTTCATTGTGTTATTATTACTTCAGGTGTTGGTATAAATTGGATTTCTCTTCAATGTGTATATGCATATGTACGTTGTAGTTGGTGTGTAAAGATTGACAGAATAGAGTGAAATGTTCAATATTTGTTATAGTTGAAATCAAAACCTACCTTAACAATTCAGTCATTTTAATCCTTACACAGAAGAAATAAGGACAAAAATAGCTTACGTATGTTACTTGAAAAGTAAACCCATAGAAAATGCACTGGGTATATATTTTCATAGAAATTGCGAGAAGCATTGATACATGCGACGCTGGCTTAACATATTATGTACATTCGTGTAACTATATTTTAATGTACCGTACATGAGGTATAAGTAAAAGAAATATTAGTTTTATTGATATAATAAAAAACAAATAATTTATAATGATTGTACTTTTATTAGAACAACCAATAAAAATTCGTTGTTCTAGAGTATAGACACGAAAAAATTATGTGTACTAGAGTACAACCAGTAAATATGTCGGTTATTTATTGTAGTATTATGTAGGTGTACATTAAAACTAAGTTACCAGCTACCATGCACATTCATTTACATTAAATACACAAAAACCGCTACGTTGAAAATTAGCGTAAGAAAAGAACATGCACACCGTTGTGATCATATATAATTAAATTGAAAATTATCAAAATTTGTTTGTACCGCACAAAATATACAGAGCAAAGTTTGCTGTTATATTAACAATTGTTTTTTTTTTCTATTATTTTTAATAACAATTTGCACGGTACCCTTACACGGTAGTAACTACACATATTACCAAATCAGTACTTTATTTAATTTCTAATTTTAATGTCTCGTATAAAAATTCCCCTGGGATTACCAATTGTTTTCTTAAAATACATGTAACGTAAAACGGGTTGAATAGAATTCGAGGGGTGAATAGACACAGAAGAGGGGTGAAAAGATACAAGGAAAATTCGCCAATATTTATTCACCCCTCAAATTCTATTCATGCCGTTTCACGGTATATGATCAAAACGGCAACATGCTGTAGTTTGTAAAATAAAAACAGTGACAGATAAAGCGTAAGACATTCATGGAACAGACAAATGCGGAACGAAATGATGACGTTGGATCAAAGTAACACCTCATCACAGTATCTTCCTATGACCAAGGGCACAAAACCCTTATTAAAAAATTACATTCAGATTGGGTGGGCTACCGTTTTTCTGCTTATCAGACGTCGCTAATATAGTGTGGGGTTTAGTTAGACCATTAGAAAATTAACTAGTATCGAACTTATGGACAGCTACCGTGATTTTTTTATACGAGCTGACTGATTACCTTATGGTAAATAATCAGCGCCTCTCATGGACACTGGCAACACCAAAAGAATTACGAGTGCATTGCCGGCCTTTTGAGGATAAGGGTTTCTGATATTTAAGGATTGGGAAAGAGGCAGGGATTGGGCCTCCGATAACCTTATCACACGGCGAAAGATAACGAATCGGTTCTTTTACGGTTTTTTGTGAGGCCGTTGTATCACTCGGGTCGAGCCGACCCATTCGTACAGCACAAATTCAAACAAACAGGTCTCAAGCTACAGTAGCAACATCTGTAAAGCGAAAAGATAGTAGCCTTGCACAGGTTGATTGATAGAACCCATAAAATACACATATATAAATATTATTGGACACCAACCCTGACCGTCACGGGACATGCATTACATCGAGATCCAACGCCACATATAAAGGCGAGCGCACATTCACGATCAAGTCGGTGCGACAGACTGTAGCATGCGACTCACGACACTGTATTGTAATTTGCTTACGTGCCACTGGAGATCCGGGTCCGAGTACGACTGAAAATTCAACTGGTGTTAGTCTACTCAGGTGTCCGACTGCGTCGAAATTTTGATATTATTATTATTACGTGTGCTGGACTTAAGTTAGAAGGGAAAATCAAACACAGTTTGAGCTAAGAACAATCTTCTCTCGATATATGTAGATACAATGTTTGGTATCTATGATTTAGGGTGTTGCAGGATAACCCTCCATTCTAACCAAAATCCATCACAAAAAATCAGTGTGCCCAAAACAAGTTATTTCCTCTTCCGTGTCTCTGTTATATTGCCAAATCGTGGACACCCTTACTAAATGTTACTCCCAACCCCGGACAGTACGACTACTTTATTTTATACAATATTCACATTTCTGCTGACACTACTTCGTACACTATTATTATCAAATCAATGGTATGGTTCTTCCAAGTTAGGATTTTTAATCGTACGAAAAAACTAAGTAGAACTTAAAAAGAAATAAAATAGTATAAGTATGTTTTTGTTTCCAATTTTAGTCGTACAAGTAAAAACCATCACTATGAGGGTGACGTTAATTTGAAAACTGTTTGCTTGTAAAATGTTTGAAAAAATTATGTATGTCGACTGTGCTATAAAGTTATACACATTGTTCAAAATGCAGTCTTACATGACATGAGGATATGTTCGTATATGTAATCTATGCATGTTCAAGTTTACGCAATGTTCTGATAAATAAAAATGTGAATATGATGTTGTAAACAGCCATGGCCAATGTTTGATGTCTTTATTAATAGAAATGTTTTTTTAAGACGTCAATCAATAACCGTGGCAGGCCTAGAGCTAACATTCTTTAATGCAGAATAATAATGTCGAATAGAGGTGCCTACCTTATGTCGAGGTCCCAGCCTCCGGTTCAGGTAATTTGAAATGCTTTTCATGATGCTCTTGCTTCTCCTCTCACGAGCTAGCTCGGGATCTGAGAAGGAAGACGTCACGGGCAAAGGCATAAGAGGAGGTGCGGGGCGGGGTGGAGGCGGCGTGGGCGGAGCCGGCAGTATCGGTGGGGGAGGGACGGGGGGCGGCACCGCAGCCGGTGACGCCCGCGATCGCTTCACCGACTTCCGGCTAGCTTTAGGCACGCTTCCCAACCTCTCCAGCACCAATCTCCTCACAACCTCTGTCTGCTCCTCTTGTTCCCTCTTAATCTGCTGTACCTTATCAGTCGTGTCACGGGCAGGCACGGGACTCACTGGCGACAGTGAGCCCGAGCTCAGGTTGATTGACACAGATAACTCGAAGCTCCGCGTCGGTGAGTCCGTGCTCCTAGACGTGGACCTGTTGAACGTCTCGCTGGCCGACCGACAGATGGCGGGCGAGTACAGCCGAATGGTGCACGGCCCCGAGAACGGAATACTCATCGGGAGCTTCACCTTAGGAGTATCAGGTACTAGTGGCGGTGACACCTCGGATGGCTCCGTGTCCACAACTTTGTCTTTCTCTAATGGCGGCGATATTTCTGATAAACTTAATGTTTCTATTTTATTTTCTATCTTCGGTTCTGAACTATTATCTACTTGTACACTCTCACTTTTGAAAATACTGTCACTTCTCTGCATACTCATCGTGTCAGTCTTTAGTAAGCTATCAGTTTTCAGCAAGCTATCCGTTTTCAGTAAACTGTCAGTTTTCTGTAAGCTGTCACTTTTATGTAAGCTATCACTTTTGTGTATACTTTCACTTTTCGGCAAGCTGTCGCTATTGGATTTCTCACTAACATCATTCTCGACCGATTTCAGCAGTTGCGGAGACTTCAAGTCTAAAGGTTCCGTATCTGCATCGATATCTTCTATGTCATCCAAATCAATAGGACATAAGTTCTGTCTGTAGCTGTTTTCTTGGCTGGCTGGCTTGAAAACGGTTTCAGAAAAACTCCTCTCGATAAAGTTCATAGAGCGGTCGTTGCCCGGCGAATAGGCATCGTAGTCATTGTCAACTAGTTCCATGTAACCCTCGTTCTTCGGAGTGACGGGAGTCTCTAGTGAGGGGTCTTGATCTCCTTCGTCAGCAAACTCGAAGTGTTCTAAGGCGTTAGAATAGACGACTGCCTCGACAGGACTGCTCCTCCCACATACGTGGGACGCGACCGCGGCGATGTTTTTGGCGTCGTGCACTAGTTTAGGTCCGCTTAAAGTTCTAGGGTTCTTACTCCGCTTTCTTTCCTTCTTGTCGTCGAAGCCACAGTCATCTAAGACTGCACTTTCAGCCGCCCAGTCGGAGAGTTCTGTCTCCGTGAGCGCCAGAGTGGTGGCGTCGCGACCAGACTCTGAAGACTCTGACTCAGCCGCCGCGACGATAGTAGTGCCGGTCGCAGTGGCTGTGCCAGACGCCTTCTCGTCCTCGGTGCTGTTATTGATTAACATGAGACTGTCCAGCTGTATCAGCTCTCCGCCCTCGTCGTGCACCTCGAGACGAGGCACCGACTGATTGGGAGCCGTCTCTGTGTGGGACGAGTCATCCTCAGACAACGAGTCTGAATCCAAGTCCGGATCCTTCTCATCCTTCGTCGATTCTGACCTCCAATCTTTGATGAGAGGTGCATCTACTTTGGTGAGCAGATCGACTGGTGCATCGGCGACAAGGTTCTTAATAATGTCAGGCATCGGCTGTGACTTCTTATCCTCAGTCGATAGCTGGAAGGTTACTACTGGTTTCTGTGGTTGAGGCTGCTGAGTGGGTGCGGGTGCAGGGTGTAACATTTTCTGGAACTCTGTAATGGTAGATCTAAAGGCTTCAAACTTGGTGTCTATTTGGGAGGTGGAGTCCGACTTCCTGACGGCTGGGGGCGAGGGCTCCCCGAGCAGGTACCGTCGTTTGAGTTCCAGAGCGCGTTTGGTGGCGAGTCCGCCGGCCGAGCGGGTGCGGCTGAGCGGGTACTCCTGTGGGGGCGGAGGCGCGGGGGGCGTGGCCTCGGTCACTAGTATAGCGGGCGGGGAGGGCGCAGGCGCTACCTCCTCCCGCGCGAACTCGCTGTCCGTCGACACCTCGGTGGCCGAGGACACTTCCTCGTCGCTGGACTCGCTCTCCTCCTCAGATTCCACCTGTGTGCAAGCTCGGTTAGTACGGTGTTCGAGTGTCAGCAGTCCGACACAGCATAGAAGCGAGCGTCCCGAGTGGTGCGTAGAAAGGTGCGCACAAACCACACTAACTTACCGTCCGTGATGGCGGTACACGTGGCGTCACTAGTCGCTACCAGTGCGTCACTACCTCTATACATAACTATATACATATAGCAACACTCGCTGAACTGTATTTGACATTCTAAACTTATTGAGATATTAAAATTGATCATATTTGAACTTACAAATAAGATTTTTTAGAACACTTTATTATTGGGAAGTCATTTATTATTGGATATTTTACTAAACTTTATTTTATTGAAACTTTGAAAGGCAAATATAATCGTCGTATAAAAAGTATTGTACTCTAATGAAGCGCAAGTAACTGAATTATAATGACATCCCCCAAAGATAATAATAATATCAGTCAAATACCTTTCAAGCGACACAAAATAAACCATAATATAATATATATAATAAATAAAACCAGCTCAAAAACAACAATACAAAAACAATATTTACACATATTTATGAAATATATATAATATATACATATAGAGCTATAATACACATCTTATAGTTATGAAGCTGATAAACACAATATTATAATGACGAATATTAATATAAAGTACATAAATGAATTAATATATTATTATTAATACAGAAACAACACAATTAAAAACGCCATCGATTTTTAAGACTTTACTGTTTTATTTTGTTATCTTTCCTTTATGAGATAATTATCTTAAGATGTATTATAAAACAAAATATGTACGCACAATCTGCATATATAACGCATTCTATAGATCCGATCGACTTCAACCTGTCTAACATCAAACATAGTACAAGGTCTAACTGATGACCTCAGAGACATTAAATGACTATTCCATAGCGATATAGCGAACCCTTAGAAATAGTGAAAAAACATTTATTACTATTTCTAAGGGTTTTTTATGAGAAATTCATCGCATGACTTGCCCTAATTGGCAAGAATATTTTATTCTATACTAATATTAGGGGGTAATCTTTGGCACCGCATGTCGGATTGCCAAAATTCTATAACTGATAGACATCACGCTACGACCAAATGGAGCCGAGCACAGGGTGAAACCGCGCGAGAATAGCTAGTAAAATATCATTAAAAAAGCCAATTTGGTATAAGACATGACTTTTTTAGTAGGGACGAGAGGAGTGTCGGACTCTTACTGAATATAAACCCCCCCGTTCTTTCTCCTGTTCAGGGCTGAGGGCACGTGACCATAATTAAGTAAACAATAAATGGTTCAGAGTACAGGAGTAGTACTATTTCGACTCTTTAAAGTTTGACTCTTTGTTTACTGTCGATTTTGTCAGTTCGAATAAAGTATTGAAATTGATTGGTGTGTAACAGTTTCTGTTATGGGTGTAATATCTTACTCTGAAAGACAGAAGTAAAGAATAATCGCAGAATGACATTGCTATCAAACCTATACCTATCACCATTACTGATTTGTTAATATTGCTGCCATTACATGCAATGATGTTCCATTTTGAACCATCGTCTAGAGAGGTCGGTTACCTTCCATCATGGCTAAGAATACAAGTAATATAATAGAAGTACTTATCTTCCCGAATTTATTTTATGTGGATCCACAAAGCGTCCTTGAGACGCGACACGCATAAATACATGTAAATATCTTCCTAAAAGTTCCTGTTGAATATAAGCATACTTCTTTCGCTTCTTCTACATTCATCAATCTCTATTTTGGTTTACTTACCTTACCAAATGTATCATTTACTCTCAAATATTGCTTAGAAAGATGTGGCAGTGCTAACCCTAATATATCCTTGTATCTGTGTACTACATATTTTAATTGATTCAACATAAGCAACAGAATAAAACAGTAAGTCGCAGACGGAAGTTAGTGTGGACAACTACACGCTTACCGCGCCGCTGCCGCCGCCCCTGTTATCTAGCGTAGTATAATGATGATGACATGACGCATGCACTAACGTCACGACGGGCCTAGGACAGACCTATGATGACCTAGGACAGGCCTATGGTGATCTAAGAGAGGCCTAAGGTATACGTACAACGGCCTATTGCCATTATTACACTAATTTCGAATAAATAGTCGTTCAATGTGAATTCACGCCTCATTTTGAAAACAGACTTGTCACAAAATGTAATGACTTAAATCGCGAAAATGCAGTAAGATGGACGAATAAACAAGGAGAAACTGTTCTATATAAAAATCACCTATACCTGGAGAATACCTCGGGTCGCGTTTAAATAACACGGAATTAGCAAGTGAATCTGCCGTGCGGGTTTAATCCCTGCTAAAAATGCATACGTTGCGAAGTGTTGATAAAATCAAATGTTCTATGAAAAGAAAGAAGTCGCGTATTCTAACTGAACCTTATGTTGAAGGCTTTAAAGGCGCTTTCCAAAGACGTGTATTGTTGAAAAATGGTCTAGAAATACTGACTAAACTACACACAAAAGATAGTATTGATGTGGGATAATTTAATAGGCATGTATTGGGGCGGCGGTGGGTCGGGTACCGCACCTCCCTACACCGCAACTAGGCGACGCTGCAGCGCGGTACCTCGCTGCTGTCGGTCGGGGGCCGCGCGTCCGCCGGGACCTCGCGCCGCCGAGCCTCGCGCGCCGCTCGCATGCGAGAACAGGACTCGTTGCCTGATGATTCCGCTCCTAGATATAATAATATACAAATTGATGGTATTGTAAGAAGCTTACAACTAAATATGAAACAAAAAGATTGCACTGTTTATTCCTACAGATCTTCTTATGAACAAAAGGTTTCCGTTTAGACTACAAAGAACTGCGATTTACGCGCGAACTTCAACATACGATCTAACATTCCTTTTATTTCCCTAATATTGAGACTAAGGTTTTATGGGAAAGAATCCACAGAAAAAATATCTTAGTTTATACTTAAACAAACCCTAAAAGCATGGAATTAAGGTTCCAAATCTGTAGACAACTTACCATCATCCGAATAGTCGTCATAGCCGAAGGAGTCGTCGGAGAAGTATAGTTCAGAATGCGCGGGTCGGGGGGCGGCCACTTGAGGTTCGGGGGAGGCGGCCACTCCATTGTCGCTGTCGCCCGCGTCCGTGTACTCGTCCGAACTGGACTCCTCCTCGTCACTGCATAATATATATACATATAAGAAAATGAGGGTAGGTGTTTAACATATTCAGTGCCACCGACTCGCACAGAGAGTCCACGTGAACTGTATTCCAGCGCCGTGGACTCGACCCGGCGAGTTCAACGTAAGGCCGCTATCCCACTAAGCGGTTTACTAGCGCTCACTCGATGTTAACGCCGCGTCGTCGGCCATGGGATAGCGGCCTAAAATGTGCGAAAAAATGTAGGCGGCATCCGAGATATTATTGTGAAAGTCGTAGTTATAATGAAAGTGTTAATGGCTAAAACCGTCTTCGTCACACATATACGCTGAGGTATGTATAGGTTATAGTAAAAAAAACATCGAAATGATGTGATTGTTTATTTTCGTACAAACTAACACGTTTACACGTCAACACTTTGAACTAGATGAATTTCGAACATATAACACACTGAGAGGTCATTAACTCTTTTACACACACAATATTAATCAAGTACACCAAAACATGAATTCACTTACACTGCTATAATATCAAACTGTATACCAAAATCACAAAACTGATGACTGAAACTATAATGATCGCAATCACTGAACACGAATAGACTGACAGTTTTCTATGTAGATGTCCACTCGGAGTCCAAGAGAAGAGAGATCCCGCATTCATGACCCTTCCGACATACATAACATATTTCATTTGAATTATGTTGAAATATTTTTTGTTTGTGTAACTCACATATTTAAGATCTTGAATTGTAAACTTAAAAATTCGGTACATTACGGTCGAAATCATTGGGAACATTCAAATATGTAACGAACAAAAACGGTTCTTTCGAGTTCTTTAAAAAATCTGCGCAAATTCGTTAACTTGCCGTTATCACAATATATAAAATAGTGTATGGATTTTGCGTTTAAAATATGAATGCTGCCCTATACATACGTTGTAATCGGATAATTGCAACGATTAGATAACAAACTTCTACAACCTAACAGTTCAAATTATCCAAGCCATATCCTGTATCCGCAAAAATCAGAACAAAAACAATACATTGAATAGCAAACAATACCATACCTTAGTCCCCCAGCGCACGAGGTCTCAGACGCCAAGAAGTTTCTATCAGTCCATTCATCCTCATCGATCTCTCTAGCACCACTATCAGATAGTTCCAGACTAATCCTCTCAGGAGTAGGAGGGGGAGGATGACTGCGAGCGTTCGCGAGGGCAGTCACTGCGGCCACGGCATCAGGTACACTCACTCCGGAGTGCCGGAGACAGACTAGCCGGCTACCGTAGCGCTCCATTGTGTAGTTACTGCAACAACAATATTAGGTTAAGGGCTTGACTCTTAATCGAGAGACGATCCACCCGACCGGAACCGGACCCGAGCGTACGACGCGAAGCGTTCCGCGCGAGCCTCAAAGAGCCAATAGACCACCACAGAAAGGCCCTTTAGGGCTGATGTTCAACCGGGTTGCGGGGTAAGCATAATAAGACACTGCTAAGAAATCCAACAGCAAAAACAGGAACAGAGAGGTTATTAGTCAGTATGCGTGCGACACTTCTTTCCGCCCCACACAGGGTGGGAGAAGCCATTTAATGATTTTTCCTCTCACAAAAAAGGGCTTGATTCTCCACTCTGAGTAGATAGTGGTTATTTGGAGTATGTGAATGTCGATATAGTGTTACTAACCCGGGTCTAAGCACAGTCTTGCAGACGGCGCATCGGAAGCAGGCGCGGTGGAGATGCAGCCCGTCGGCAGTGACGCCCTCTGCCGCGAACACGCGAGTACCACACGCTGCACACTGCATGCCCGTGAAAGCAGGGCCGCGCCAACTCTTCTTCGACTGATGTAATATGTAATATAAGGAAGTTATGTTCAAGTATTTTGCATTAAGTATAATAAACTTAAAAAGATAAGTTACTATAGCTTGGAAGAACAAACTGGCGACAGGCGAAGCCGCTTGTGTAGAATATTGTCTGACAATACTTTTGACCAAAGGACATAATATTTGAGCGGAAAATACAACAACTCTTTACTGTTAACACAAGAAACTGACACTATTGAAATACAAGATAATTACAAGATAATTATAAAGTAACGTCTGTACACTAAAAGTAAATAAATCCTTATAAAATACGTACGTCTTCTTTCGATGTTTCTTTCGGCGGAGTCTTCGACATTTCGGCTTCAGGTTGTTTCTTGACGAACTTGGTCGCCAAATTCGCAACCTGCAAGGAAAGAGAAAATTGACAAAGATGTATTTTAAGTATCTTATCTATACACAAATTCACAAGTTTTACTCACAATGCTGATATGTGTAAGAATTTCTGTTTATGTTAATACTTTTTTTTTTGTATGAACGGCTCTTATCACGCAGTTAACTCGCAATTTGATTTTTGTACAGACCTAACAAATGTTGGATATCTCCAGCGTTAAAATATATTAAGTTAACTACATACCTTCTTCGTTCCCTGGTCAGGTCTGCCGGAGTCCTTGAGTTTCTGGTCGAGTTTGTGTAACGTTTCGTCGATCTCTACCCATTTCTCTTCGTTGCCTTCACCCTCTTTTAACTTGCGCTGCCTTCCCAGAAACTGATAGCAAAATATAACAAATTATACTTAACGCAAAGATCTCGAGAAGAAGTCTCAATACAGTTACTATACAAATACTATATTTTCAGCTCTGTTAGCTTTATTACACTTAGGGCTGATTTTTCAATGGGGAAAATAAAAGTTATCTGGGGAGTAATTATGATACTGTCGCGTCAGAATGTTTGTATAAGACAGTGACAGCAACAATTTTATTCCTCAAATAACAGTTATCTGCCGATTGAAAAATCAGCCCTTAGTTAAACAACGAAACTAACCTGTTCTCGATCCCACTTAGGCACTCGTTCAGCGGTTTTAGGCTCGGGCCTGCCGAGTCTGTTCTCCATGATCTTCCGTTCAATTTCCTTCATGTTCCAATCATCCCTCTCTATTTTGCCGACAGATCGCATCAAGTCCTTGGGTTTGGATGAAGGGCGGGGTGTGGTTGTGTTTGTTGAGGTACCGCTGAGCTCTGCAGCTAAACGGGCGACTCTGGCACCGCCGCCTGCGGTTCTTCCACCGCCGCCGACGATACGACCTTCCTCCTGGAGATACATTTAGAGATATAGGCGATTGACTGTGTGATTAGTATGACATATTTGTTAAAGGTTTCACCACTAAGGGGTAAAAACTTTAAAATTCAACTGGGATAGTTCATATAAAGTGCATTTTATATGTAAAGTTATTTGCTAGATGGTGACTAAATTAAGTTAACTTTTCAGAAACAGATTAAAAATTGACACTGCGCAATATAAAGAAGTATTATTGCTACCATTATAAGAATTAGGACACACCTAAGTTATACACACTTGAAAATAATTTTGTAAGGCCTTTGGAATTTAAAAATGTATGATTGTTTTCAAATTCCTTAGGCTTGTGAAGAATTTACAAATTAGTTTTATGAAACACATCGTAGTTAGTTAAACACGGTGAAAACTTGGAACACATGTGAAATGTTAATGTAACTCCTAGGTACTATATAACTAGCGTTTTCTACATTTCGAGTAACGGTTACAGACCAGTAGGCCTACCATGAAGTGTTGAAGTGTGAATCTTTCGGGCGAGAAACAGAGATGTAGCTATTAAAGGTGTATAGCTCCATCCCTCTTTAACCTACGTCACATCATGGTGGCCCTCAGTTTTTTTTAATACCGACATTATTGACAGAAATGAGCGATGTTGGAATGAATTATTTTCTTCCATCAACCATTACTTTAAAGAAACTATGTTGACGCTCACAAACAGTGGTTTGGTTAAAGGATGAATGAAGAATCACGCGTTATTAGAAATCGCGACGCTAGTACAATAATACCTTAACATGCACACACGTCTACGTATAGTAAGTATAAAACGTTAAGTTTGTATCGTTTCATCTTCCATCGATGTTCTGTTGGAAAACGTGCGAGTTATCATTTCCATTGGACAGAGACGGAGCGGTTGAGTGTCTACATTACTGCCTCACCTACAGCGAGTGTAGTCAAAAGTATAGTTTCGATAAAATTTCATGTTAAGTAAGTACAGTAGGCTCTCAACCGCTCGCGGCCCGCCCCCTCTCCCGCCAAACGGATCATTCCATGCGACACACAACGGCAATCGCCTCACATAGTGCTGCAGCTTCTTCTCCAACTTCTTGACTCTCTCGTCGAAGTCCGGCGCACTAGCGCGGTACTGCTGCAACCCGTAGTCATTCTCCAGGTCGGCTGAGGGCGCGAAGTCCAGGCGACGCTCTGCCGCTAACATCTGTAGACTTTTCTCAAAACGCTGTTTTGTTATCTCCCGCGCGGCCTTACGCCGCCCTGTCTTAGGCCTCTTCGACTCGGCACTTCTTTTCTGCATCATATCAGACGCTCTCTGCATTCTAAACGCCATCTCGTCGCTGTTTCGTCGTTGTGGTATATCTGGAGGCTGCCGCTGCTTATGTTCCTGGCCCAATCCTTGCCCCTGCTTGATGAGGTCAACCACCCTCTGGCGCCGCACTGCCATCTCCGGGGTTCCGATACATTCTTTTTTGTCCCGTCTGTCTGGAGACGGAGTGTCTCGTCGCTTGCCTTCAATGATTTCTGTCATACGTTGTAAGCGTAGGGCCATCTCAGGGTTTGTAGTTGAGCCTGAACGGATAGATCTGGACTCCGGGCTAGGTGTATGTCGCCTCTTGTGGCCCTCGAACAACTGAGCGATTCGCTTAGTGTTGGCTATTTCAGATGCGCCTATCGAGTTCGATCTCTTATAAGGTACCTTAACTTCTGGACTCTGGGAATGCCTAATTCTACTAGTGTTTACAACATCTGACAGTCTCCTACCTTTCTGCGGTAACGGGCTCTCAGAAGACCTAGCAAACTTCCCCGCACCGTCAATAGACGAAGAAGACGGATATTGTGGTTTTTTGGCGCTCTCCGTCGACAGCGACCTGCTGAAAGTCTTCTTAGCTTCCACTTTGACGACCGTGGCATCCGTGTCGGGAGAATCATCAAACATTGAGTAATCTGGTATCCGCATGCTGTTGATGTCGAGGCCCTTCAGCCTCCGCGATGGCTTCACGGGTTTAGCAACTTCTTCTTGGAAGAAATGCGCTAATTGTGTTGGTTCCTGAACCCTGGTCTTAGTGGAGCCCTGCAGGAGCTGCGCTAGAGATTGCCTGAGAACCTTGGGGTCGGGCGACTCCTCGGGGTCGAGGAGCGCCAATATTTGTTCCTGTAGTTCTTTCTGTTTGTCTGTCTGTGTGTCAGTGTCGGTGACGGCGTCGTGGCCCTCAATGAGGCGCGCGAGCTGTGTGATGTCGTTAAGGTCTAGTTTGCCGATCTTTTTGCGAATGTACTCGGCGGGATCGTTACTTACTTGTTGGGGACGTACCGAGCGCCGTTTCTTTCTGTAGCTCGAGTGTGATTTGTCGGCGTCGGCCGCGTCTATGGGACAAGTAATCACAAATTAATAAACTGGATTCGCTAAGATGAATTGATTGGCAGAAAGATAAATAGCAACTGCAGGTTGTAACTGAGTACATGGGTATATATTTGGTACTTAACCTTGACATTGGGAGTATTGAGTAACAATGGTAATGTTAGCGTGGCAGGCCGCCTTGAACTACAGCTACAAATGGCTGAATAGTTGTAAATAACAAAGAGTTGCACTTACTTGTGTATACAGATACAGGGTGTTCTATGTTGCGAACGTGTTTCTCTTTCTGCATGCTCTGTTTGATCTAGCAACATACAGCGGTACATTATATAACATTGTATGTATAAGGTAAGCGTTAGTCTACTGTAATTCTAGTGTGAAGAAAATGACAGAGTAAGTACTATAGCTTTGTTTTGTGGAGGTAAATTTTGTAAATTAGTTTAAAGATCCATTAAGCGGCGAGTATAGGTACTTAAATTTGTGAAGGAGAGTTTTAATATATAAAATGTATAGTGTGTTTTGTTTATATAATAAAATCAAAAGAAAACGGAAAGTACTTTATTATTTTTCTTAGTCTAAATTATAATAAACAAATATGGCAGTATTATTTTATTTTGTAGGAACATTTCACTAACTAACACTTAAGATTGTTAAAACCTCATCGCGCTTTGCGTTAAATACACTGAATATTTCTTTTTTTAAGAGTAAAAAGTAATAATAAATATATAGTTACTTCATTTTCTCTCTGTTAGAGAGAACATCCTTAGTAAACTCAATAATATCATGACTGTATTAAATAAAAAACAAATTATAGTAGTACTCGTTAATATTAAATTTAAACGAACGCTAAACCACTCGACTCGGTATATGCGACAAAATAGAAAATGTACAACGTCGAACGCCGGGCGAAAAGGAGGACCGTCTGACGGCTGTGTAAATATCCCCTATTCAAATAACATTTCATTTTTTATTTTATGATAATTCTTTGCTAATGTTCCTTTCTTTCACACCCATCCATCCATCCAATAAACCATCTATCATATTCATAGCCTTACAAACTGGCGACATTAGCATCTGACATGAATGACACTAGATTCATACAACTTATTCTCTTTAAAAATTTCAAAGGTAAAGATTTATTATTAAATAGTACGCAACTTTATCTATCTAATCTCGAGTTTTGTCACTAATGTACATATGTGTGACAACTATTACCTGATCAAAGACATCGGTCTCATGGTGGACGTGCGGCACTTCCCCTTTGAACGCGTTGTACACGCGCGTCAAGTACGAACGAAGCTTTGCATCGGGCACGTCTCTTAACGAACCGCCTGATGAGAACGGGGCTATGCCTGGAATAGGGAATAGTAACTTTATTAAAGTACGTTTTAGGTTTAGTTTCGATTGACAGGTTTAAGTTGAAGAAGAAGTTGTATTTCCAAATAATTCGGTTTGATAGAATATAATTGCATTCCTTTACTGACTTAAAGATTTACAGAGATTTTTCTCCCAAGCTTCTTCACCCTTCTTTCCTCTTTTTATGGTATAGGAGGCAAACGAAAAGACTGATCACCTGATTGTAAGTGATCTGCAGCGCCTATGGACACCAGCGGAGTCACCGGTGCGTTGCCGGCCTTTTAAAAAGGAGTACGATCGTTTTTTTTTTTTTTTTTTGAATGTTTCAAGGTCGTGTCGGTTCGGAAAAAAGTGACAGAAGTTTGTAACTCTGTGCTTGTTGTTAACGGATACTGGAACCTAATCACTGTTTAAGTTCTCACCAAACTCCTGTTGTAGGATATGGTAGACGGCTCTGGGAACAGTTGTGGAGGGGAGCAAGTCTGGTCTGTAGCGGCGCAGTAGCTCAGTGAGGGCCGCAGGACTCGACGCCGCCCTGATACCCGGCTCCGACCACGCCACCCACGACACCAACGCTTCCTCCGACACTTCTGCTTCTGTTCATAAATTACTTCTTTAATTTTTCTATGAATTTTGTACCACAATCGATTTCGTTTTTGATAACGTAGATTTCCAACCTAATGATTTGAAAGGCATTGTGGCTGATATGTTAATATGGAAGTTTAAATTAACCACATTATTTTGGAATAATAATTTCTAAATATGTATTATACCTTCCTATTATTACTCATTATACACTTAAAAATACTCACCTCTCCGTCTCTTCCTGGCAGTGGGTGCGGCATCCAATGGTAACGGTTCATCGGAGTCGTAAAAGGAAGTGACGCGGTGCGGCGTCACCGCTGCCCGGTTCAAGTTCGGGTAGCGCGTACCCGGGTCTAGTGTGTACGCACCGAAGTCACGGTGCAGATTCTCCGGAGTCGTTTGAGCTGGAAGAAAGATTTATGTTTTTTTTTTTTTGGAAATGTACTGAGTGCAGTGTGATAAAGTTGATTGGTTGAAACATTATCCACTTCACACTATACATTATCCATTTTACACTTTTAAACTAGAAAATTTAACATTGAATGAGGTTTTGTTGCAATGTAAAGCCTCGCATGGGTAAGATAGTTTAACTCAGTGATAACAGATGGCGCTACCGAACGAAATACATATGCGTGCACTTAAATTACTTTAATTTTACCATACATCATAGTCTTAAACCGCGGGTAAAAATGTAGTAATAAAAAAAATCAAAAAGCTTTCTAAGCTAACTGGCTATAGAATTATGAGTTATGAAACTTTCAATTGAGCTGAAGCTTAACTTACAACTATATTTTTCATTATCTATGAATAGTGTGCGTCAACCCATATTTATTTTCTACCATTAAGTCTTACCCGTATTTTTTTCTACTATTAGGTAAGTCTTATGCCTTATCCATTGCGGTAAGGAAGAGTCACCAGATATAGTCACCGTTAAAAATACAATGAAAGTGCCGTACCTCCGTCTGATCCAACAGACAAACTGTGTATACAGTTTTGTTGGACATTTTATACTTTTTATAATGTAAAATGTACCTTCTAAGTAATAATAAATAAATAAATAACGAAAAACCTAATAAAGTGAAAAAACTTTAAAACTTAAGCATGCGCATGAATAAAAATAATGATAAAATATTTTGCTAACGTAGTAACTTTCTAACTATTTAAAGTACGTAATATAGACTTTATTTCCAGTCCATAAGAATGAGACAAAAAATAGCTTTGTGTTTGAAATAAGTAATTTCCTTTGTGCCACCCCTTATCTCGTGATTCAAGTGGCAATCTCCTTGCATACTCTATAATACGGAAATTGTAAGTATTGTATAGTCATATATAGAATAATTTTGTAGATACTGGCCACTAACACTGAGCCCAATGGTAAAAAAATAATTCGTCTAAAAATATTGTTCTACAACTTTTTAAATACTATCACGTTCTAATTTCTATTGCATTGATATACATGGTAACTTTCTAAGTAGGTACTATGATTTCTAAGGTCATTTTAAATAATATTTTGAAAAAAATAAGTAACATGATTCAATTGTATTTTTTTTACCTAATTAATAAAATAAGACCAAAATGTATTTTGAAACAAGCAATTTTCATTATTTTAGGTAAATACGCATAATTCAAAAAGAGTGTTAACCACCAAAACATATTATTGTGTAAAATACAAAATTACGAAACAAAATATGTATGTACAAAATTCAACGTCGAACACCCAAGAAAAGAAAATCCCTAAACTCAGTCAATTACACAAGAAGTTCACAGAATACAACTGAACTATCTTCCTGAATTTAAAGATTCACAATCAGTTTTAAAATCAAACAGCTCACCCGTCAAATAAAATCCGACTTTAAATTAAATTAATAAGAGCCTATTTTGTTCTGACGAATAGCAAATCCGTCAAAGAGTTCCGAATCAAAAGCATGAGATATGGAATGTGTGTTGAATGAACGCGGCAAATCTCCTCATACATAAGGTTGTAACTGACCGTAGTACATGGATAAAAAGGGTGGTTTAGTCGCTGTGTGCGTGCCACCCAACCCCCCTCCCACCACCACCACCACATTGAAAGCTAGTTGTGTCTCTGTGTGAGTAGCGTGCTCCACACATTGAAGACTGTCAATACAGGGTGATACAAGGACTGTTTATAAATACAGAGACTGTCGGAAGTGTCTGTTGTTAGTATGAATTTTACATTTCGATTTTTGAAAAATACTATTTTTTTTTCATATGTCTAGGAACTTACAATAAATCCTAAGAAAACCTCTACATGAATCTATCAACTAGATCAACTACTTTATTTTGTTTTATAAGGAGTATTCCCATGAACACCAACCCAGTATCGGCACAAATCGGGTTGGACTTTATTAAAGATTTTTATATTTATTATTTCCTTATAAAAGCCATATCACATTAGTTTTACATTAATTACAGAGAGGGAAAATTGGATGATGATGATGATTTACATCAAATACCGATACGACCTTAAGTTTGTGAAATGGGCTATATTTTCATACTGTTCACGAATTCTTTCGAATTGATTTACATTATTTGAGATTTTTAATTCAATAAATGAACTGCTTGGTACAGTTAATACCAATATCATATTTAGGAAACACTTTCGACAGTGTTTTGGTACATCAATGGTCTAACGGTTTAGGAAATTAACTTAATGTAAACAATGCTGGCATGTCATTCTATCTAAAAGCATGTAAAAATATTTACAATGAGGTATTTACCTAAATTGATTTCAATAAATTACATTGAAATATTCTTTGGAAGCATTCTATACGACTTCTTTGTCAAATATTAAAAGACATACCCAAAATGGTTTACCTTTAGTTAGCCACCTAAAACGATAGACCATAGATATTAAGGTACGAGAGAAGCTGAGCTCGTCAAAGGACTTAATTACATTGGGAGAAGGATGTTAGAGGGTTGTAGGGCGTGGGTGGAGGGCGGCGGGAGTGAAGGGGGGATTACTAGGGCGAAGGGGGGAGGTTGTGGGCTTTGGTGGCAGTCTAGAGGTTGGAGGTGGCAAGGGGAGACGGTGGGTGATGGGCGACAGGTGGATCAATCAAACGCAGTATGTAATGCACATGATTTTGAATAATCAGACAAGAGAACGCTTTTAATCTAGAATCTATAATCATTATAAGGGATGAAAAATAAACTATCTCTCTTTATCTCTTAAACTTTTGATTTTGATTGGCAGCTGGGACGTATTTGTGTGTTAAATGTTTGATTCATATTAGTTCGAGGGGATTTTACCCTAAATTGTGGAAAAAGATTTTTATTTATATTTAAATATATTTCATGTTTATATATGTATGTTGTAATATACACAAGTTTCAGCGTTCTCTTACATTTAACAAATAATATTGCTTACTTAAAATTCAAAATACATTTTTTAAAGATCAGTAACAGTTAGAATGCTTTCGACCAACTGAGTAAAAGACTACTTTAGAGGGAATAGAAAACAAAGGTTCAAACATATCTAGATTTTGATCCTTGTAATTGGAATAACGGGTCTTTATAAATATACATACATACATAGTTCAAAGAGAACACGCCACGTGTACTCGCTCAAATAAAAGCCCTCGGCTCCATTATTCATCACAACATTGCCCCTGGACTAGGGGAGCTCGGGAGTTTTACAAAAGCACTAAGTACATGCCATATCAATCTGATTCACTTGTCAAAGGGGAAGCTGCGCATTATTTGCAACAGTGAATGAGATCAAAGAGTGACCATGGAACGTATGACGGGTGTTTTAACAATATGGAAATATTTCGCGGACCATTATTAATTTTCATGTAAGTACATAGATTCGGTTTTATTATTTTATATAGATACATAGGGGACCGCTGGCCAGCACGCTAATCTCTCTCATTAGTATTCCATTGCAAAGCTATCGCATATTAGCAGATGCTCGCTGAAGCTGTGTTACTAGAATTATTATTAATCCTTTTTTACGAAACCTAATCCAGGCTCATTGTAGGAATGAATAAGTTTGAATATAATTCAGATATTGTACACTGACTATTCAATAGATTGGCACGTGGATGTATTGGATAAAGGGGTATATTTAAAAAGGTTTGTTTTTTTGGTCGAATATTTGAAGTAAAAATTGATGATTGAAATTGAAGTAAAAATTGCTGGTCGGTTCTAACCGAACACTGCGGAATTTATCATATTAATTATATATGACAATGGTAAAGTTTTTTTATTGCGACTTACCTAGAAGTCTATAGATAGACTCTCTTTCGGCTATAACTTCGAGTGGATGCGGTGCTGGAGTCTGGCCCCACGCTCTGACGGCCCAGGCAGCGTCTAGCGCCGACAGGAAACCTCGAGCACAACCCGAGCCAGTCGGCCAAAACGGCTCGAGCAAACTGTCTCCAACCAGTTGGCACAACAAGCGCCGACCGTGACGCTCGTATACCTGCGCAAAGACATTCATTGTTGTATATCAATTTCTAGAAATTCGTGACTTACGGAGATTAGTAAGGTATATACTGTTTGATATATGAATATTTAATTACTATTATTCACGATTGAATAATAAAGCCTTCTTTTTGTATTATTTGTTGAGTTACACTTACACTTGCTCTAAAATAATATCAGCGAAAAGTCCAAAAAAAGAAACGTCATTTTTAGTCTATAGTCTCTGGTCATAGGAAAACTGATCTCTCTGACTCTTCTGAAGTAATTTAGAAAATTATCATAAGTTATAGTATAGTCTGTATTTTTTTTTACTTTCAATGGATTACTATGTTCCTACTCAATATTAAAAGTGGCATGTCGTATTGACTACTTGAATAACTTGCTTCGTAAAAGCAATATAGATGAGCTCACCATGCTGGCGTTTTCAGCGGCGTACATAGAGGTGAAGTCAAAGAGCGCAACGTCAGGCTCTCCGTAGTGGTTGAGGGCGAAGTCCCGCAGCGGAAGGCGGCCGTCCGTTGAGAACCGCGCCGCTTCTTGCGCGTACCGCATCAAAGCTGCGCGGTCTACGTTCTCCACGCTCAACAGACGTGATACTTCATTATAATCCTGCCGAACAAAGATTATTTTTTAGTAAATATCGTGAGACATTCTAAATTTATTGGTGATAACGACGTACCTAAGAGAATTAAGCTCTAGTAGTTTGTTGAAGTCATGTCGGGACTCATATTGATTTATGTATTAACGGAGAAGACAGGGCTCACGTCAATAAGATTTTTTTAAGAGAAAGATTTTTATGTTAGTGTGAAATTGCTACTTTTAATCTTCAGAATAAACAATAAGGTTTATTTTTATTGTGCCGGCTACGACTAGGTTACATAAAAAAGTAGCAAAAGTTTCTATTACACCTCTGTCTACAAAACAAAAGCTGCCTGTCTGCTTACAAATATAAACTATAGAAACAAACAAATCTGTTAGGTGTGTAACCAAAAATATATCAATACCTATTTGCGTAAACGCTTCGATTTATTTGAAAAAAAAAATCTATTCCTTATTGATACTTATTTCCTAATCTGTGGATTAAAAAATAAAGTAAATAGTGCCTATCTTTATTACTTTAATATATATTAGAATTTAGCTTAGTTGTTATTGTATAAAAGTCTCGAAAAGGTTTCATGTCATGCACATCTGTAATTTGCACAATTATTTGTACATTCAATTGTTTTATTGTTGAGTTTTTGTATAACATTTGATGATTGTATTGCTGTTAAAAATGTCGTGGTGGCCCGGAGGTTAAGGAGCCCGCTTCTCATGCATGAGGGTGGGTTCGAAACCTGGCAAGTACCAATGTGACTTTTCCGAGTTATATGTACTTTCTATGATTATTTAGACACCACTGACACTGACATACGGTGAAAATAAACATCGTAAGGAAACTTGGACTTATAATTTCTAATTATAAGTTTGAAATCGACAACCCGCATTGAGCAAGCGTGGTGATTAATGCTCTAACCTTCTCCGTATGAGAAGAGGCCTTTGCACAGCAGTGGGCACTTATAGGCTGATGATGATGATGATTGCTGGTGTGCTTATATTAAAATAAATAAATAAACTTACATTGAGTAGCACCCCTTTGTCGAGCAGGCTGTGCTTCTTGGCAGTCATAACGAAGTAATGCGTGTCGTCCTTATAGTACACAATGTTCTCCAGATCGATGCCCGTCACTTCGTACAGCTCTTTGAAGAACTTCTGGTTGAATATGAACGCGACACCGCTGATTTCTGGTACCTGCGTTAAGATAATTATGTTTCTGTCAATAGGTGTATAGCGACATACCTACATTCAAGCCGCCTTTAAAAAGACGTTGAGAACGTTTCGCTTTCTGACAGAAACTCGTCTCGAAAGAGACGTTTTCTGTTTTTTCATTGTTTCTCGTAACAGAAAGTAAAAAACGAAGGTATTGGTTTGTTGCTCACGAAGGTATGATAACGATAATCTGATTCTTTAAGAAGTTAGTACTTATAGTGTACTTATAGTTCGGTAATGGTGATCGGGTAATATAAGGTGTGGTGGTTATGCCATAGAATGTAGGTATGTATGTCGCTATAGGTATATTTATTACTAAAATAAGTTGTGTAGTTAGTAATACAGAAAGGAAAAGAGAAAGAATGGGCGACAAACCAGCAGACGGATTACCTGATGGTAAGCAATCGGCGCCGCCTATGTGACAATAGAGGAGTAACGAATCCATTACTATTATTTTAGGGATTAGGGTTTTGGAGATTTGGGGATTAGGGAAGAGGGAGAAGGATTGGGCCTCCGGTAACCTCACTTATACGGCAACAACAAAAGACAACGCTGTAATTGTTTCACGCCGGTTTTGTGTAAGGCCATGGTAATACTCCGGTCGAGCCGACACATTCGTGCCGAAGCGAGGCTCACACTTTATGTCGCAATAATATCTGGTTTATTATTATTGATCTTGTTTACTTGCAATTTTAATTTTGTATGTAATTTTAAATAAATAAATAATGTAATTTCGTATATCGTGCCTGGTAGTGACGAAATTAATTTTATTCCTGTCTTTTTTAAAGTAAATAGCAACTTTGGTTGTTTGTGATAGGTTTAAATATCCTAATCCTCTAACAACTACAGCTGCATACAGTTTTTCTATTTATTGTAAATCATTCCATTCCGTAAACGCTATATTTTACAATGTAATACTTCTGCTAGGTCTTTCTCAGAACCGCGGTACTCAAGTGGTCCTTGAGACAAGCAGTTATATAATATGGTGTTTGACAAATGATTAATTGTGTGGTAGTTGTGAAATTTTCATAAATAAATGGAAAGTATTTATTGTGTAGGTACACATATTTCTATTTTACTTATATTAGAAATGGGAAAGTAACGATGTCTGTTACTGAATCACGCCAAAACGGCTGGACGGATCTGGATGAAATTTGGAACCGGCATAGGATACACTCCGGAATAGGACACAGGCTACTTTTTATCAACATACCATGTGGGCGGAACCGCGGGCGGAAGCTAGTATTTCATAAATGCTACAAACCGATGCTTCCTGCTCCGTATGCCTGTTGATGAAGTTGGCGGTGATGGCCATAGCCAGCTTCCCCCTAAACTCCTTGCGTTTGAACCCATGCAGCGTATTCCTCTTGCCGTCGGCTCCGAGGAGCACGTCAAACTCGTACTGCGATACCACGTGGTCTGATGGCAAGACGCGCGCTCTCCAACCCAGTGCTGTATAAAAAATAATACTTGTCAGTAATATGGCTACCATTTTTTTAGCGGAATATCATCAAATTACTTCTGCCACCGCTATGGTGAGTTGGTGGCAAGAGGGAGTTACAGACTCTTAATGTGGTCTGACTTGAACAGCGCTTTTATTGGCCGTAGGCCTTAGACCGTTGCGGGTTACATGTCTGTTTAGGTTGTAAGCCTTTCGATAGAAAAGAAGATACGAAATGAACTATAAACCCTCCGTTCCTTCTCCTGCTCTAGGCCAAGGCCGCGGTGCGCGATAGTTTTGAATGTTGCAGCTCCATGCTCCCGCTATATAGGATAGACATGTTGTAAGCTTGTTCTTAGTATTATTATATTTTTAGTTTGATTATTTTATTTCTATTTAATTAGAGACTAAATTTTAAATTGTGGTGAAATTTAATACAATTCCTCATGTTGAACAAAATATATTTCTTCCTTCTGTGTAACCTTTTATAGTGTACTCGCTGATTAAAAGCAAACACTTACTTTCTGAATTCTCGGCAACCCTAGGCTCTAATAATTCTTCGAAACTGACTCCTTCGTGTAACTCTACTCCTAGTAGCAACGCCACCTAAAACAATAGTAAAACATAACTTTATTAAATGATTGCTAAGCGCAAAACTCACGAACTGCTGTACCAAATAAGATAATGATACCGTTGTATCTTTAATCAACAAGGTTTTAAGTGTAGAAGAGCCATACTTCGGCACGAAAGGGCTGGCTCGACCGAAGTGATACCACGGCCTCACAGAATACCTTAACATCTTTTCTCCAAACGCCGGTAACGATTGTTTACCATCTGGGTAATCCACAAGCTCGTTTGCTGGCGAAAGAAACAGCAGTAGCACTCGTACAAAACAATAATTACCTTCATAAGTATACACTGTAGCTGCCTGATACTGATGTGGTCTATGGAGCCGGCGCAGAACTTGCCGAAGAACTTCTTCGCACCGAGCGCCCTCAGATCTTGGATCACGAACGGCCATAAGTGCAGCACGTTGTTCCTAGACATTCTGTCACGTTTCTCTATCACGACCTGGTAACAACATCAAATTATCAAATATTTTGTAGATTCCATACTATATGGGTAGGTATGGGCATATACAAGTCACACAGAACCCATCAAACCCATATAGGTTTCTGAATCCTGATAGTCATGGCTTGTTGGTGTGATATAAATATTACTATGTCAGTATGTATGTGTGTATGTAACCACACCGTTCCGTCACCGATGTTACTAGTTTAACAATATGAGAAAAATATAATGCAATAAAAAGTTCAAAGCGTCAACGTTAAAGCGCGTATTTTTTATGGATACGAATAATTTGCATTTGCAATTTAAGCATTCGATGTTTTAGCCACAATCTCCCCTGGTGGTTCGCGATGATGCAGCCAACGAGCCTTCAAGCAAGTTGTATGGTCACATTAGTAAGGTTTCATGAAGAACCACATGTGTAGAAAAAACATAAGAGCTTTTTCTCATGGGAATAGTACCTTATGTTAACGTTATGTCGTTAGACAATTTAATAATTCATACCCATGGAGCTTGGGAACCGGGGTTTTATCTAGTGCGTTAACTAAAACAAGGCGTTTAGGATCCACGGCCTTGGATCGTTAAAGTTTATAATAAGTTAGCTCTAGTTAGGTAAGTCTTGTCCTACACGCAGAAATTAATAAGTTCCGTGTCGAATACTATAGGGATACCATACTACAAACAAATGAGATCAAGAAAACCAAATAATCAATGTATACGGAACAAGTAAAGAGGTTTGCGTTACAACTAATTTCATTTGTTCCATAAGATCCATGTATGTAGAATAAGGTAATTATTTTATTAACTGTAGTAGGACGGAAGGATGCTGTCACTTTTTTATCGGATCACATTTGTAATTAGTTTGTCAGCATTCTGTGTGCTCGTTTTTATGATTTATATTGATACTCAATGCAGTTAACAATTTTTTGTACATAATTTCTTACATAAAATAGTTAATAAATCAGGTTGGCGCATAAACATATATTTTTCTTTTAATTTGCGACGCTTATCGTTCACTAACGTGAGGGAAAAACTCTAACGTTAAAATATTTTTTCCCATTAAGAAGAGGAACAGCGGTAGAAGTCGTAAAAAGTCAATAGTAAATGATGCGATATACCCATGTATTTCATATAATTCAATTGAAAATAAAATTATTAAAAGGTAGGTAGGTAAGAAATCACCCTGGAAATGACGTGAAGGGACACCCATGATGTCCCCTCACGTTATTTCAGACAAAATACAGCCCTCTTACTCTGAACCACAAAACAATCATGAAGGCAAAGTGGGAAGTTAATTATGTACTGTCTTTGTAGGTATTAAATTGAGTTATTTTACCCAAACGCGACGAATACATACGTATCTTTACAGTTACAAATTTGATACATATAAATAGACCTAGCACCTAGCTTAACTGAACAGAAAGATAAACTATTATTCTTTTTCCACATTTTCAAAAACACGTATTTATATTTAATGTTTTATGACCGCTAGATGATTCCAAAAACACTGCCTGACCCTTCAGGGAATGAATACGATAGAACGCTGTGTTTTCTTCTTTTGTTCAAAATTGGAAAACCACACAGCAATGGAACGCGTCTACTAGAGTAACACTAGAGTGCAACACAAAACCGGAGTGCAACAACGCTTTCTTTGTGTGCCATGTGAGTGAAGTGGAGTGAGTGCGGAGAGGGGTGACATGGCCTCCAAATCCTCCCCTCACCCCACACTCCAAATGGACGGCGACGCGCTTACAACAGTTCTGGTGTTTCGGGGATCTATGGACGTCGCCGATTGCTAACCAACCATCAGGTTATCAGTTGAAAAGATTGCTCGTTCGCCGATGCCATCTTATTAATATTATAAATGCGAAAGTTACGATGTTTGGATGTTTGTTACTCAATCCCGCCAAAATTGGGCCAGGCATAGGATACACTCCGGAATAGGACATAGGCTATTTTTTATCAACATAGCTAATTTTTTTTTATATTGAAGTAAATGATATGGTACTTACAACTTTGGCACCAAGGAGCTGACATTCTATTGCTGCTCGCAGGCCGCAAGGTCCTGCACCGATGATGAGCACCTTGCCTGAGACACACGCTCTGCCCTTCGCGTACACTTTGTGGTTGGCTCGGGCATCGAATTTCTTGAATAACGCTTGCGCTTTCCATGAACTTGCTAGTTTCGCCTGGGGAAGAGAATTGATATTCATTTAAAAACAATTTCCTTTATGAACCATACATTTAAGTATCCCTAATTTATGTCCGAGTCTTTTGTCGTAATGGGTATGGCACATTCTGCCCTCACAAAGAGGACATGAAAAACCTTATGCCTTTACGCATGCATGAAGCGAACATTTTCACTCGTATATGGGTCAAGGTTCTAAATACTACTCGTAGAAATACAAGACACATATAATAAAACAATATGTGAACGTCATACAATAAATATTGTCATGTTTACATATAACACAGGTCCTTGCGCAACCCGGGAAAAGGGAGTTCTGATGCCCAGTCAAGTGTGAACCTTACGAGGCCGGTAGTCATATCTCACGTTGCCTAATATTAAGCCAACATAACAATACGTAACACCAGGTGCTACATAATTCGGTTTATACAGTGTGTTAAGTAGTTTAAACGAGGGGCATAAGAAGGAACCGATTTTGGTGCTCAATTGCAATAGCTTTTTATCTCAAAAACAAATTATAATCTCAAAAATAAATTTAATTCCCCATTCAAATTGCAACCGCTGATTGATCATTTTGCAGGAGAAGTAAAAATTATTTCTGCGATTTTCTAATCGGTTCGGATCAGGTTGTTAGGTACACACTGTATATTTATTATTATGAAGCAAGTTCTAACAAGTTTACATATCAATATTCACGATTTCGTATCACATAAGACAAGATAATTATTACGCATTTCTGTTATCCTGTTTACGTTAAAGTAGGTTTAAAGTTCTGAAAAAACGTTTAAGGTAAGGATACAAATACAAACAAACGTTATTAATACCCAGTAATTGCTTTTTGAGGTAAAATTCAAGATCAAAGAGGGTCTGTTCCCTCTCCGCCACCCTAGGAGGGTAGCCTAGATCTACGTTGGAGCCTATAGTAACTGCGCAGTACGATGGCCGGCGGGCTTCCCCGACGGCTAGACAGGGGGATGTAATTTGAGGACGTGGTCCCCCTGTTTTTCATACACATAGATACAGGATGTTCGGTTTTCCCCCCAGTAGCCAGACGATTTTCAATCGATACGCATTTACGCAGTCGGCTTTAAAGAGACAAAGAAATGTAAACAAAGATTATCTTCACTTTAAAGTGCCATTTATCTTATGTTATTTATTTATTTGTTTTATAATTCGTGCACAAAAATATTGTACGTTAAGTACGCCTAATGCCAGGCATGATGATGAGGCATTCTCAACTAGGCAAACCTTTAGGTTCCTGTCCTTTTCTTCTTGTCTTCTCCCAGAGAAACATCATCATCATATATATTTCTTTTTATAAAAAGAATAAAAGGTTTATTTGAGTCCCTTCATCATAAACAATAAACTAATCTGTAATATTTCAAAAGGCAAAAGTATTATCGAAGGTCAAAAAAAATACTAAGATTTTTATAAATTTTGTCGTACTCCATAAATGGAGAATTAGCTTAATAACATTGTATTATTTTTATTTTGCTTATTTTTATTACACGTTACGTTAGACTTGGCAAAACCAACTTTCAGTTTACTCGCTCTATCGATAGATGGCGCTAGCACACGCGTTGTCCGCGTAAAACACAACAGAAGGCCGAGCCATCAATTAAGGAACAATTTGTAAAGCGAGTAATATTATCTTGTTTCATTCATGGATTTATTCTTCCTTGGCCGTCAAGATGTACCGGTGGCCATATACCTACCTACCTGCCAACCTAAAAGTAATTGGAGAATACCGACGCTGTAAAGGTCTAGTGGTTGTATTATTAACAATGATGTATGTCATTAAACATAAGGTTATTTGCATAACATAAAGTATGTATAATCTTGGAAAATATATCACTTACAGCCGTCAATATTCTTTCAAATCCAAAACCAAACCAAAAACTAAACTAAACCAAAAGCACAAGTTATTATTATTACTAAAGTAAAACCTAATGGTTTTTATTCCATGGGGGTAAATCATCAAACATCTTATCCCACCCTGCTAGAGTGTGAAACTCTTACTGACTAAAAACCATCACCCTGTTTCTTTCCTGCAACCCCAACGTGTGACCTTCGTACGTTTTAAACTGAGTGTTCATAACGACCTCTATTTCTCAACTTAAAGTTGTTTTATTTAAGTGTCATTTTAATTATAAATACAAAATAAAAAATACGTGTATAATATTATATTTTAGTATTTACCGGACGGACTAGATTGTTTTTTTTTATTTTCATACTAGATTCCGCCCACGACTTCGCATGCGAATAAAAGTAATATAATACCGGGATTTTAGAAGCAGCAGCATTTAAAGCTCGAATAAAATATGCAAAACAATACATATAAGTATAATTTACAGCCTCAACACTCAGTAACATTGTAGCTTTTGGAAATCTAATGTGGGTTCCAAATATTACCCGCTACATACAAGTTTACAAATTTTACTTTATAATATTATGGTACCTATAGTTTAACACTGTCATTCTTAATGCAACCGAGAGAAGTGGATAATTTTCAAGTTTTTGTCATCTTTTCCGCATTGTAGAACAATATGGTAAAATCGCTAACGATATTACTCCTTGTTTCGAAGAACCATGAATCGCTTATCAGTCAAACATCAAGTGCTACCTGTCTTATAATTACTAATTATGACGACTACCGTTAATCAGAATTGATAGTGACTTTGATATGAATGACATGCATTCAAGAACCCCACAAGTCGCCGGCATTATAACAGATTGAGTACCAAACAAGCAGTTCTCACGTTGTATAACTCTTAACTATGATAATTTTACAATTCTTTTATTTTTCAAAGACTTTGTCACACACGAGGTCGCATCCAAAAGTAAGTCAACAATGGAATTTATAGTTGTAGTGTCCGGAACTCAGGCCGGAAGTCCTTTGTTGTGAATTAAATCGAACCAATTATATTTGGACCTCTATCTTCCGGTCCTTACCAAATACGTACACTTGTTTCGGACAGCTGACGACGTAAATATTGATGTGATTTGTAAATGACAAGTTGCAACGATCGCGGATGTTTAAGGCTTTTCTTCCGCGAAAGTGAACGCAGGAATATGGACACAAGATACTCGTTATTATGAGAGCTTTATGAGTCTTTTGTTACAATGTTAGGTATCCTAAACATTTTTCTAAGTATCTGTATTCAAAGAAACCAAAAAACGAGACATGTCCTCATGTTTCAAAACATTGAATGACTAATTAATTTAATGAGTCGTGTAAACAATCGTCACTTGCCGCCCAAAATAAAAAGAATTGTTCAATAAATGGCCACCCATCCAGTGTCCAGCTACCGAGAACAATGCCAACTATACGAAATAATTTATTCGGGTACAAAAAACCTATCAACATTCCGAATATAATAAACATCTTGTTAAATATAATATAATTAATGTATTCAGATAGTTGGACTATATTAAAGTGGTAACACTACAATTTATGTGCAATAACTTTATTTTACGAGTATGACTGTCGTATACGAGTACAACGGGAGAATTAATTTTGTTAATACACACATTATCGCGCAAGCTGAACAGTTTCTCAATGTACCAACTGTTTACTATTTATACCCTTTACTGGTCCGCAGTTTTATTATTTTCGCAACTGGTCTTTTTACAAGGGTTGCTCTATACAAGGCTGCGCAGATGCGCTTTGCAGATGCGTCATGCAAAGTCCGGAGATAATGTCCAGCCCTTTGTGCACAAAACGAGCCAGTCAATTGGAATAACAAGACCTAACCGAGCATATATTTTTTTAAAATTAAGCCCCTTACGCCATAGTCATTTTAGCATGCCTGGGAATTGAAATCTGAACACGCTGTCAATCATTGAACCGACAGAGGAGTATTCATGTGTATAAATAAAACTGAATCTCGCGAGTGTATAAATGGGGAATTATCTTTTGTGTAAGGTATGTGCACAGCTATGTATATTATAAAAATTGAATACTCTACAACTAATATAGGGTATGTGCATCATACCCTACATACCCCATGTCAGTCGTCATCATCATATTATTATGGACCACCTGAGGAATTTGCACGTAAAGCAATAAAAGTATGCAGACACACAACTCGGACAATATATGGAACCTCGAACAAAGAACAAAGAATTTAGTAGCGCGCAATATATTATACTTTATAGTAGAAACCGTAAGTATTGAGCACACCTTAAATAAAACAATTTGTACATTAAGGAATAGTCATCAATGTGACCAATGACATCATTATGCAGCGCCAACGTCAAAAAGTCGCCCATATTTGCGAGCTAAATCATTTAACTGTTATCAGCAGGTTATCTTAGAGATAAGCCAGTAATTAGCGATAGCATTACTATAAATTAGTACATAGACAGTTTTCGAGAAATTCGCAAAAGCGATTACGATAAACAATCGCAGCTGGTACAAGCAAAATATCAACAATACGCGTGGGTGTAAACTTGGAACCAATATGGCCAATGGGGGCAAGAACATGTTTTGATCAATTTATTAAGATCGGTGAATAGATTCATTCATAAACTCATTCAACCACGCAAGCCAGTTCGCTCAGCAAATTTTTGTATTTAACTGATTGAGTAACAATTAGATATTTGTTTAAAAACTAAAATTGAACATTAACAAATATCAAATATATTTCCTAGATTCATGTATATAATAAGGTTAAATAATATCACTAGGAGATACCTAATGATATTTTTGTATTATCTTCACACCATATAGTAAACAATAACATAGAACCTCAGCTCCTTCCCGTTGACACTTCGCTTCATTTGCAAGTATAGACACAAGTGCATAAAGGGCATCAATATATTCGCAAAGCAATTGATTAGCATACAAACATTCACGGTTAGGCAGAGAACCATTTGAATATAATAAGGTAAGTGACGTTAGCAAGGGGGCATTGCATGAACGCATATGGGCTATGACCCGCTATCTAGAAGACGATGGAAGAACTTTAACTACAAGGATTAAGGTATATTTTCCAAAGT